GAGTGACCCACCGGGCTCGTTTGTTCCGCCTGTTGACACCATTGCATTGACACCATTGCAACAGAATTGCTCGGACTTGGGTTGCAAAACATCGGTGTGACCGTGTTCGGGGTGTCGGATCTCCCGCCCAAGACCTTCGACGCTCTTAGGAGAGCCTGCTCTGAAAACGAGCAGACTCTGGATAGTGTTGCATAGGTCGTGCGTAGAGCTGGAAGTAGCAGGTCGGGACGGGGCACTGAAGCTACTGGCCGACCTTAAGGTAATGTAAGCTTACATTGCCGCCCGTTGGCTGGTCCGCAAGTTTTAGGTCTTGGGTCCGGAGCGGCGGTAAGTGCCTGGACCTTTTGGTAGGAATATTTATTGGCTTCACTGGCGGCTTCTCGCTGGCGGCGGTCCCCAATTTGCTCTGCCTATGTACGCCTCTTCGTCCTCCTCCTTGCATCTAGGCTGCAGCTGTGTGCCTTATCCTTAGGTCTAGGTTTCTACACAAGGCATGTTTTGGTGCGTCAATGTTGATAATTGGGTCCACAAGTGATTGGTGAAGACATGTATGTATGTTGTTACAGGGTGGTTAACTTCGCCAGCGGCCCCCTTTCCCGGGGCAGTCCCTGCTCTCCCCTGCTAGAGGGGCACCCTAATCCGTCACCCCATCCGACTTCAGAATGTATTCGTTGGGTTCGGCAACTCACCACCAGCATCCAACCAAATCTAGCGGATCAACGGCGCATCAACTTAGTTCCTGGTCAGCTCGCAAGTTGATATTATCACGTCCTACACCGTCCATATGATGGGGGGCCACCTCCCATTTTATCACTCCTCAAACACCCGAGGAGCTGGCAGGCGGATTTGAACCCGGGTCGACTGGATCGACTGGGAGCAGAAGTCAGGCCTTAACTTCTGCCAGCCGCCTGCCTGTGTATGTATGTTTGCGTGTGTAGACAGGCGAGACAGGTGCAGGTGAATGTAAACACGGGTTACCCTGTCTGTTACCCATCAGTAGTGTATTACCCCGACCCCTTTGTTACCCCTCGGTAAGGGGTTACCCCTACCCCGGGGTTAGGTTACCCACCTCCCTTCGTACATAGCCACATGGGTAACCCCTAACCCTACACCCAGGGTTACGCTTAATTAAGGGGGGGTTACCCCCCGTTTTATGCCATAGGGACCGCACCCGCACGTCAGGGGCGAACAGCTTCATCTTGTCATCTTCGTAGTATTCATGCGTGATGGTATATGTCCGATTGGTGATAGGAAAATGTGCAGCCGTGATGTACATGCAGTGGGCTGCTGGCTGGGGGCATTCAGCCCCCCGGGGATCTGCTGCGTCGAGGTGTCATCACGGGGTACTTGCTTGATGGTACATGAATCTCTCATCGGAGCGAGCGAGCCCCACCTAAACGCCTTCACGGTCGCATGAGGATCTCCTATTCTCGCAGCAGCAAGTGTAAAAACAGGACAGTCTTCATATCATATACCATATTCGTTTAGGACAACTTAGATCAAATGGATGCTTCTTTTGCGAGAACGAGGTCTCGTAGGCGGCGGGCATGGAGGCACAACCGGCCCATAATGTCAACGTACGTATGTGCAACCTTAAGCGAAGGCGGATAGGTGGCGACGTGTTTGCGACGGCGCGCGCGTTATGAGCTCGGCTCAGCAGCAATTAATGTAAGGGTATATTAGGAAGCGGAACGTTACATACAGAAGCAGCATGCATATGTGTAACGTGTACGTCATGTGAACCTGACCCAGTGTTTATTTTTTTGGTAATATATTACTTTTTTGGGAATAAATGGGGGTCTGAGCCTGGAAGAAATGGAATAATTGGTCAGTTGGCCGTACTGGTTCATTACTTCGGCGATAAGTCGCCCCAAACGCCTTCTGCACATATAAAGCTGAACATTTGGAGCTTATGCACTATCTATGTATAAAATATTTGATGATATCACCATGAGACGGCCCGCTGTTGCATTCAACCTAGGTCAACGGGGCATTCGTTCATTCTTGACCAAAGCAAACGGCTCAGAAAGTCCGCAGATGCAATGCCCCAAACATTTAGAAGAAGAATTAGATAATACAGAAGACAAGGATAGGCATGCCGTAGTTGCCGCTCTTGAAGTCAGTGAAGCCAGCGATTTGAGCGAAGCTGAGGATCCCCCGGCGAAGCGGCAACACACAACTGTAGCAATCAGCGACTTAGCTGAGCAGCTTGATTCTGACGAGGAAGGGCCACCGCCCCAAGATGTCGCCACGGCACCACCGCCACCTTCAAGGGCTGGTGCTTCGCAGCACGCACCGCTGGTGATTCAAAAGCAGGCGCGGCGCCAGCAAACACAGCGTGTGCCGAAAGGCCAAAGCGATGGGAGCTGGCGGGAGAATGAGGGAGTGCGTCGCTTCCAGGCGCACTGGACAGCTTTGTTCGAATGGGCTGAGTGTGTTGCGCCGGATATGGAGGCTGGCGAGGTGCACGACCGTGTCCGGTGCGGTCCCTGCTCCCTCAGCCGGCAGCGGGACATCACGATGGATGCCAGGCAGGCCACACTAAAAAGCCACGAGCTTTGCGAGTGTTGTTTACAGCACACCGTACAGCCTTTGAGGGGGGGTCTGGGGGGGGTCTGGGGGGGGCGCAGCCCCCCCCAGCGACTATACAAAAAGGAATTGTAACCGCAAGAAACACCCAGTTTATTACTCTAGGGTATTAGGCCCCAAACGAAAAAAAAAACACTGACCTGACCCTCTGTTTCATCTGGGGTAATACATGCGTATGCAAATGAAATAAGTAAACTGTCTCTGCATACGCACATACATACGTCCTTATTACATGAAGCGGATCCAAAGAATCATTGCCAAGGCCATACTAGACCAAGGCCATTGGCCAGTAATGAAACAAGTATAAGGAGTCATGTATTCTATATGCCATTGACGCATCACTACTAATGATTACCAAAACCCCGCCCGCTGTCCCACTTGCGACGCCTCCAGCCTACTGCTGGTCAGTGCTATCCATTAACAAAACAACTACTGGAAGGGCAAAGAGAAACAACTTATCCCACGCAGGCAGTGGATCGTACCTCTGACCGACATACATTTGCACACCACAGACTGCATGCACGCAGAGTGCCCGGCAGTTGCGCATGTGACATCATTATTATTCACAAATCATACGTTCAGCTGCGGCCCCCACAAAGTCCACAAGCTATTTCGGCGCCCTTCGCTTACAGTCCCTAAGGCAGTTCAGAACGAGGCTAAGGCTTGAACAAGGCCACGTGCCTAAGCCACAAGGTCGCGCTACCACATTCGGCAATGCTAAAAAACGTCTAGCTGATGCTCGCTGTCGCACACGTATGTACAGCGAACGCGGCAAATGCATGAGCAAGGCCACATATGTTAAGCTAGCCGGCACATGAGTACGGAAGGACGTCCTGGTTGAAGAACGTCCGTTCACCCGTTCGTCCTGTACATTCTGCCGGGCATCATGCCCGGTAGAATGTAGTGCTTGCATGATGTAAGCACTCTTCACTGGAGCATCGCCGCACATCGTACCAGTATCCATGCATGCAGAACGAAGTACAATTGCCAGATACCGAGCATAGATGCCGTATGGATGACATTTCCTGCCGGTAATGTCGGTGGTCCAGCAGGACATACATACAGCACACGCGTTTGGCCTTCATGATATGGTGGCGGCTGTACACCACCAACGCCTGCAGGTATCATGCATGATCATCCAGTGAAGAGAAAATACAAAGTCCCCGCACAGTATAGGACAAAACATCTATCGATGAACATGATCAAGGTTTGAATTGACTTGATATCAAACATGTGTGGCCGGCTGCTGTGAGACATAGACGGCGACGGCCAGCTCGGCACATACAAAGCAAGTTGACAAACAATTACCCTTATTAATACAGAATGCATACAGCCCTCACACTTATCCCAGTAAAGGATATTTGGCCCCCAACCGCTTCAGAAGGAATGTGAGCAAAACCGGCCAGCAAGGAAACCTATCCCGCTGGCTGGCGAGATGAAAAACGGAAGCATCAATCCACACGGGTCGGTTATCGATCCCCGCCCAGCTTATCGGCGTAGCAGGTGAAGTCACGGGAAGACTTGGAGCCCTAACCGTCGGCACACATACATGTACTGCACACACGCCACAACAAAAAATAGCACGGAAGCCGTACGACTTGCCGCCAGTAAGGGCTTATAGACAAATAGTGAGCGAACCCTAAATATTGAGCAATCGCTATGCAAGCCATGCAGTGGGCAAGCAAGCAGAGGGCAAGCAACGAAGCAACGACGTACGGGAACCATGTTATCATGTTATCGGCACCAAGCCCATGTAACGTGCCGGCATACATGCCAGCCCCATGAAACCATACCAGCCTCATGGCTTTAATAACAGATAAGGCATTCAACGCCGTGACATGAGACCCGAGAAGCTGCTGGAAGATGCATTTACCCTAGATATAGCAATAGTTGCCTCTGTGAAAGCCAGCCAGCTGGCCAGTACTAGTAACTTGTTCGCACAACCCCTGGCATCTAAGCAGCAGCAGCAGCAGCAGTAGCAGCTCACGTGCTCACTGGTGCAGTTCAGTCACGAGATGAAGGCCTCGCTCGCAGGTGACACGCGTACAGATAAGACAGACGCAACCCTGTTATGAATTATTCCGCGTTCTGGTTGTTGTAGCATTGCCACCGTCTACAAAAGAGCTCACACCGAGAGGCGCAGAGATAGAGAGAGGCGCACATGCTCCGATGTGGATGTGGATGAATTCATGGCTCGAAGGCTCTCATGACCCCTCCCCCAGCAGCGCAACAATGAGCGATTATCACAAATCAATCCCGCGCAGGAAGCCACTTGCATAGCTTGAATGTGTAGACTGACAATACAACACATAAAGCTATACACAGGCGATGTACGTTATCATGCAACTAATAACATGCATGTAAGGTACACCTGCTGGTACGTTCCGTATCTGGACTTCCCGTCCGCCAGCGCCCTCTCCTGTTTGCTGGTCGCCACAATGTCCCAACACACATACAGCAGTGCCAACCAGTTGGCAGTTAGTTGCGCATGAATCTGGGTACTTGGAGTGGTTTATAACACCCTAAACATGTACGTATCCCTTCAGTCCAAGTTAATCACATGATGTTTTGTTATGCATGGGTGACTTACCGTACATGGGTGACTTACCGTACAGGTTCTTAAGGCATCCTCCGATAACTGTTGTATTGAACGCATTGCTTGGACTACTTCAACTTCTGTGATGCGAAATTGTAGTATAGACTTGGGTGATAAGAAGTCCGCACAAGCTGTCGCCGCACCAGCAGCACGCAGATTCTGCTGCTCGCTTTGGAGTGCCCACCGACTCCTCATCCATTTATCCACCCATCCATTCATCCTTCCTGCCTTCCACACTCCGAGCTTGACACCCCATAGCCAACTTGACAGTTAGAGCACTACACACACCTTCAGCAGTTAACCATCATGGCATATAGATGTTCGTCGTAACCCTCTCTTCGTTCAAACAACAAGCTCGGCCAGCAGGACATCCGGCCCGGCCGAGGGGGCTGCCGGTGTCATGCACCCGACATCAACATCAGGCTGGTGCATGTACGTGCGTATAGTACATACAGGTATAGGCCGTTCGTACGTGAATATCATGATTTTCTTCTGTTAATATTTCGGCGCCTTTTGTGCATCATGCCAACACATCATGCCAATACCTCCCGAACTCGTGCTGCACGCACTTCCAGCCCTGATTGATGATAACCACACGCAGACCGACACATGGACTCCATCTCCGGCCACCGGCAGCTTACTCGGTAGCAGCACAGCCCAACCAACAGCAATAACAGGACTCACATGCAATCCTCGGGGCGCAATCGACTTCATTTTGCCTCCACTGGCGATCATTGCAGTGACTGAGTCGACGCACATGACAGCTGACGATGAAGGGCGGGTAACACACCGAACGACAGGCGCCGGCGCTTCTTTCTGCAGCTGTTAAATGCTGATGTATTCATGCTGAGAGTCTGTCGCATCTCGTGGTGTCCGGCAAGGCACGCCACTGTAGCATCGTCTTCAACCAGGGCGGCTATTAAAACAATACCGCGCCTCATCATCATCAGCGTGCTGCAGGCACACACCATTCCCCTGTGAAGAATGCACACATGTGCCGCAGCAGCAGCAACAGCAGCATGTGAAGGACAGGACAGGAATTAGTAGGAATAAGCTATGTTGGTACATTTAGACGTGTGTCAGCAACATGCAGATAGCGACGAGAGCTTGTGCATCATCAGCTTGCGTAGCCCTAGCTGCGTAAATCCATCTTAGGGCTAGGCTGTGTTTGCCACTGGACATCAGTTAGTTAGTTAGTTAGTTAGTTAGCTGCGGACTGACACTCATGCGTTGGCCTTCTCGTTGCTGTGGGCGTCATCATGCGCATTTTGCGGTTGGGATTGGCTGTTGGCTGCATGTGTGTGCTGTGTTGATTGGCCGCTTGGAGCTCTACTTGCCTCGGTCGGTGCCTTGAACACGACGATGTGGGTGATAGATAACAAGGTGGGGTTTTGGTTCCTCCTTTGCGACCGTGTGATGAGTGCAAGAGGCGTCCTGTGCCACCTTAATCCGTGCGCAGGTGCGGGGCTGTCTTGTCACCTAGGAGCTGGCCGCTGGTGTGCTGCGAACAAAACCCCAAGGCCCCCGGATAGGACCACCGGCTGCTGCTTCATGAGGGACCCACCCCCTACACCCCCTACACCACGGCTGCAGTTAAGACTGTGACATTTCTTTGACGGTCTGGTTTAGGTTCTGGGTCTGGATGTGGCGGTCCGGTTCTGGTAGACGGCTACTTCACATACCGGTGTCATGTGTTTGTGCGGGCCCCTGGAGCGGTCATACTCCTGACTGGTGCGCGTGCCGGCGGTGGCCCACCACCCCTTGGTCGCGTCACCCCTTCGTCTGTGTGTGTGTGTGTGCGTGTGTGTGTCACACCTCGAGTTCCGTAACGTACTCTCCACGGGTGTAACAGACCCTTTCCACATACGTTTGTGTTACACCACCTCGAGTTCCGTTACTCTACCGAGGTGTAACAGGCGCATACGCGCCATGCGGAGGCCCAAGGGCCAGGGGGCTGAAGGCTGTCTGAAAATAGATAGATTTCGTGAACAAAAATACACAAGGACAAGGAAAACTATATCATCCTGTCACACGGGAAACTATATACCGGACTAACTGAACTATAGATTCGGACTTCCCTGTGTCAAGGTTCGCAATGCGCCTACCTGCTATTATTTAGAGACCTGTTCGTACACGCCAGCGAGCATTGATTTTTAGCCCTACGTCCCCATGAAGCTTATGGGTGCATGTATTAGCTGGATCTCGTAGCTATGTGCCAGCCAGTGCTCCCAATAGGGCAGCAAACTGTTCACCGAACCTCAAGGCCTCTGCTATTGCGCACTTCACTTGCTGTGAACCCGCCCCTCCATTTCCAACCCGTTTAGCATCCAACAGGATTGACATAACACATGCCCCTGCACGCACACGCATGTACACTGGCCATGCCTTTCAGTCCCGTCCTGTAGCCAACATATGGCCCACCTTAATGGGCGGTCGATCAGTCCTCAAGGGTCACCCGCACAAGGGCCATCACCGCCATTGCTCTCCCCCTCGCGGCGCGCCTGATCCGTTGCCAGGCCGCTGCCAGCTGGTGTGGCAGGAGGCTGCCGCACACCTTGGCCACACGCGGCGGGCTGCCGGCATCGGTACGCCAACACAGCAATGCCACTAGCGGCAGCCAGAAACGCGATACCTGTCCGTGGATGAAATACGCAGTGCACCCGGCCGTAGGTTAATAGCTTAGGAAAGCCCCTACGTCTGTCTGTCCACCCATATTAAAGGACACGCGTACACAACAATTCGGCTGGGTGTCCAGCCAAAGCCCGCCGCTTACTCCTAAAGTGAAACGAGCACACACAACGAATGCAAGCCGATGCCTGCGCCGATGGCCCTAATGCATGGTGGGATACGGGACGTAGGGCACTTTGTGTCCCTGGATAGGATTGACAATCCGCTGTGCCTGCACGTATGACGAGCGAACGACCGAATCGGTTGTTGTTTTTTCTTGTAGCAAAGCATCCTAATGCATAGCGGCTGCCCGGACACACAAATGTAGAAGAAAATGGCGGGCAAGCATTGCAGCACTTCTTCAGGGCGGTAGAAGTAGATGAACCATTAATACAGACTTAGATAACCAAAGTAGGGGATTTGTTTTTTTTGGTCATTGCAAGCTACATATGGTGTTAAAGTATGTAGCTACTACGAGCGATCACCGCGTATGTGGCAAATAAGCCCAAACGTTGCCACTTCGTTTCTCCGATAACGGCATAATGGCGGTACGATTTGCTGGCGTCCGAAACCACGTAAAACGTGGAAATGAACATGAGATGTACGCAGAAAGGTAAAGGGTAGACCAATCGTATTCAGCCTTCAGGATACCGTTCGCACATACATACATACATACATACATACATACATACATACATACATACATCCGTACGCACCTCCCAGCACGCCACCCAAAACGGCCCCCAGCAGCGCCTTGTTAATGCTGCCCGAGGCTTGTGAAGGTGGAGGGCCCGCCGTGCACGGCACGGGGAAGTTAGACCCCGGCAGGGTTGCTGTGCTGTTCGGCGGGAACATCAGGTAGAAGCAGCCGATGTAGCTGTTGGCACTGCTGATGCACTGCTCATTCATGACTGTTGCGCACTGCATGTGTGCATGCATATGCATGGGCGGGTTGGTACGGAGCCGGCATTTAAGTTGGAGAATCATCACTGTCAGTGTGTCACGGCACCAGTGCTTTTGTTCCACATAAACAAGCGAGTTATTGGGCGACAACGCAGCAACCACTTTTGCCAAGTTGTGGAGTGTGCCAGTTTGGGAGTGCATAATGATAAATATATTATTTTCTTATTATTATTATTTATTATTTATAATATTTACAATAAGAATGAGCCAGCAAGATAGGAATAAGCGAAGACGCGGCAATACAACCCAAAAAGTAGCATCAGCTACTTAACTGCTGCTTGGGCACATGTGTGTGCATGGCCCTGGGTGGCAAGGGCTGTTAAGGATGTCAGCTTCCCTACGGGGAAAGCGCCGCGGGTGCATCCAGGTGCGGGCACGACTGACTACATGGAGATCCACCTTTCACTCACGCGCACGGTCCCCAAGTCCACACAGTGACAACCCAGCCGGCGGTGCCGCGACCACCCAACATACGAGGGTGATACCGCTCTTTCAGACAGGTACTCACGTACTCACGCCCCACGCACCCACCAGCACGTCAGCCCCAAGAATGTGGATGTTGTAGCCCGCCTCCCGCGGCATGCCGCTAGAGGTATCCAGGTAGTAGGCTTGAGTGGCCATGTCATCGTATTTTCCGATCAGGGGCCAGCAACGGCGCAGGGGGTGCGCTGTGCAGCTGTCCTCGCAGCCGTCCTGGGGCAGGTTTAAGTGGAAGCTCTGATTCCCCGGGACCATGTCAGGCCGCGTAGTGTTGACTAGCAGCTTGCGGGACTCAGGTATGGGGAGGCATGTACCTGCGTGTCATGCACCCGGCGGGTTAATTGTACGACGAGGTCAAAGTAAGGCGTGCGTACACGCGAAAGGAGTCAGGAGTCACTTCAAAGAGGAATGCATGAAGAACGGCCAACAGGACTTCTACATGCACGTACATAAAGGTCCAGGGAAAGCGTATACACTGCAGAGCGGAGCCATGTACACGCAATGCCGGCAGCAGTCACCGAGTCACACCGACACACATTTGCACTTCACTTCACTGTATGCGATGTTCCCCCCAAGTATGAAGGCTCACGTTGGAAAAGGCCCACGCTCTGCAGGAGCACGCCCGGCACAGCAGGGGTTTTCTGGCCGTTGGTAATGTTGGTGGCTGCCACCATGTCCAGACCGGGCACCTGCTGGGCCAGTCACATGGATGAATGGGTGGATGCGTTTGGTAGCGGGCCGCAGATACTTGACGCGTACATTCTTAACTATACAAACGGTAAACAAAGGGGATAGGCCATGCGCCAATGACTGCGATCAGTCGCAGGGGGAGGAAACAGTCACAGTTAATTTACAACCGCAGGCCCGTGGCGAAAGAGTGCCCAGAGGCCAGCGAGCTGGGAAGCAAAGTAGGAGCAGGCAATGGAGGTTCCAAACCGTGCAAGCAGGGCACCAGGGTCATAGGTGCAATGATGATACGTCACTCGATCAGTCGAAGGCCCCCGACGCACACATACATACACAGGCTAGGCAGGCGGCTGGCAGAGGTTAAGGCCTGGCTTCTGTTCCCGGAGTGTCCGGGTTCAAATCCGCCTGCCGACCCCTCGGGTGTTTGAGGGATGGTGGATTGGGAGGTGGCCCGCCATCTTGTGGTCGGTGTAGGACGTGATTATATCAACTTACAAAGCTGACCAGGAACTAAGTTGAGGCGCCGTTGATCCGCTAGATTTGGTTGGATGCTGGTGGTGAGTTGCTGAACCCAACGAATACACTCTGAAGTCGGATGGGGTGAATGGATTAGGGTGCCCCTCTCGCAGGGGAGAGCAGGGAACTGCCTCGGGAAAGGGGGCCGCTGGTGAAGCTATACCACCCTGTAACAACATACATACACACACTTAACACACATATACACACACATGCCCATCTATGTGCTGTATTGCCGTGGTCATTGGCCACACGCAATCGACATGATGCGTTTACGTCAGTCTTGCGCCGTGCTGGCCCTCCATTCACGACATTAGTATGTTTAGCTCTTGTTGGTTGAATGCTACTTGGACTACTTACTTGAAACACTGCTGGAGCAACGAAGCAAGCGGTAAAGCGGCCTCTGCCCTGTGACATTCAGCAACTGCGAAGTCTATCTACTAGCTAAGGATTAACTGGCCGTTCGACGATACTTGAAATAATGGCAATGATGACAGGTTGATAACCGTGTCAGCGAACAGGTGTCCGGCGTGTGAGTACGCCCAGGGCCCAGGGCCCGTCTAAAACGCCTCAGCTGTGCCGACTGGCTCAGGAGCTGCAGGCCCCTCCGCTCCACAATCGCGAACCCATTCATCCAGGGAGCGCTAATTAAGCGGATGTGACTATAATCGTTTGCACGTCTTCCCAAAGATGTCTTCCCTTCAGACGTGAAGCAGCCTGGCGTTCAGGTGGCGAAAGATATTCACTGTCATAAAAATAAGCACGGCCCCGTTGTACCTGGCGATGCCATGAATTCGTCAAAGGCTGGCTGTCCCTCATTTACCTGCTGCACAAGGGAAGCCTTGGCTCGCGGAGCAACCGGCGGTTGCCGGGCACTTCGCCGGCGAGTAAGACGCGTAATGGAAGGCAACATGCGAAAAGGCATCACTGGTTCTGCCCTGTGCTGTGACACACAGCCATCCAAAGCGAGTTGGGATTCTACACGCCTAGACACGACATTGGAGCGCATACGGGTCTCTCGCCGAAAAACTGTCATTCATTTGGTTTAAATCTCCACGCCTGAGTTACACGTGGCTATGTCTCCTCTTCATCCCTTTTTCTCCTTTTCCTTCTCTGGTGCTCCTGATGATCATCATGATGACGCTCCAAGCTGCGATCCTCAGCTTAGTGCGCGCAGGCAGCAGGGTGGCCTTCAGCTCCCCTTTCGTATGGGACCCTGCACCCCCGGCATGCTCGCTGCAACTCAAAATCAACACATCATCAAGCGTCCGGTGGTTCGCGCATGCCGAATGGACACTCGTCTTGCCATCCTTCCTGCTGCTGCTGCTGCCGCCGCCTGGGTTCAGGTCTAATGCACGTCTGCCTAGCCTGCCCAGCCGCAACCAAACGGGATCATCTATGGCTGGGATGATGTGTCGCTGTGCGTGTGCACATACTTAAGGGTAAGAACAGCAGCAGCGGCAGCAGCAGCAGCAGCAGCAGCAGCTCGGTTACCCGGGTCCCCCCCTTTAGATGCGTGCTGCGTTATACGGACATGCCGATTGCGTGTGATGCGTGTGGGTTGTCGTATGTGTGTGTATGTGTATGTGTGCGTATGTGAGGGACACGCATCTAAGCAATAGCGGATCTGCAGGCTTAGCACTTGCGAGTAGTACGTTTGTATCTGAAGAAAGAAATGCATGTCCTAAGCCCTAAACCCTAAGTAATCCTGAGCACCCCATATACGATACTGCAAGCGAGAGTTTGAGCTGCTGGTGATGTTCCTGACTGTGATTGTGTGTAATGTCATAAGATAGCCCCGAGGGGTTCTAGACACACATACATGCAGCCTTGCTACGTACGGAGTGTGGACACACCTGGAAGACAGGTCCCGTGGCCCCGTGCACCAGCACCAGGTTGTAGAAACGCATCCATATACCGTAGCTCAGCTGCACCTAACAAAACGGGGAGGTATGGAGGAGGGAAGGGAATAGGGAACGAGGGAGGAACCTAGGGTGTATATAGGTGGGATGGAGCGTGGCTGGAGGGGCTATATAAAGGCGAATGTGCTAAATGCGAATGACTAAAAATAACCTGGACGAAAACGGTAGCTGGTGAGGGAGAAGTGCGAGCTACAAGGTAAACGAGAACCTGCAGCCTCCACAAACGATTAGGTATAAGTGGGTTATTGCTAACTAACTTATGGCTGTTCCATTGTGATCAACAATGTTTGCGCGCTTCTGTGCACGCAAGCAAGTTTGCACGCAATCCTTCTCGTTAATAAGGTGGTGGTAGGCTAACGTCGGCTAACGTCGCTCTTCCCTTAAGAGCCACTATAGCTCACCTTGGACTTAACAAAGTTTATGTTGATGATGAACCAGTGCTCGCGTTCCTTGTTCGCGCCCTCGATCGATACGTTCCGCTCTAAAACTAATGGAGGCCCCCCCGTGCCCCAGTCCGCGTCGTAAAGCTGAATGTTCGATATGATCTGAAGGCGCTCGATGCTCTGGTTGGCCAAGGCACGGAAGAACTCCCAGCCGTTACGGCAATCCACAGTCGCCGGTGTTATGGACAATGCCTCGCGCCTCTGGACCAAGGCCTCGTGATGATGCCCTTCCCTCCAATCATTTGCAGCTATCGCCAAAGCCGATAATGCTATCACGTATGCCAATGTATGGAGACAACTCAACGTACCCTTGAACATCTCGCATTGCTGCAAGTTATTGCCTTCATGTATTGGGCATAATTAACCAAATCGTTCACATAGGTCCTACGTAGCCTTCGCGATGGTCTTCAGTCGCAAGACTGGCTAAGCTTTCGCACGTTAAGCCTTATTATGTTTAATTCTCAAATTATGTTGTGTCAAATGTGTTGATAAATAGCGTTGGAGAGTCTACATGGTGTGACCTGAGCGGCACATCCATAAAGTCTAGGCATTTTACTCCGCTACACGTAATAGAGTGTAAACGTGGAAGCCGGCAGCGCGCTGAAGATGATTCACCGTTCGCTGATTGTGTTGGAGGAACAACCAGAACGCCGACTGTTATACGACATTACGAAACTGGGAATACCGCACGAAACACCGTAACACCGCACTATGAAATTACCGTGTACCGCGTTTTGAAACTTTGGCTACAACACATCTAAGTTTAAATTCAACTCACAGATTTCCTTCCTCTGGCTCACAATGCAATAAGCTGCCCCCATTCATGCGTTTTCTAATCTAATAGAAGGAATTCGCTGGAATAGAAGGAATTCGCTGGCCTTCGCTCGCGCAACTTGGGTTTCTTCCGTGTCTACGCGTTTGCATCCCGTAACTCTTAAACTTCATTTTGAATGTAAATTTTGTGACATGTTGAAGTTGGACAAATTCTGCACTGCTGCTATCCAGCAGATCGCAACAGATCTGGTCTGGTTGACACAACTGTGAGGGATTTGAGTTCGTTACCGAGTAGGTATGGTTTGGCTTTGATCAGTACGACTCTGTGTCGTGCATGGCTTTGATAGACTATTTAAGGCATTCCTACACCATTATCTGTAAGCTTAATGTTATTACCTTCCTTGTCTCTCAGCCAGCGTCTGATGTCGGACCCTGCAGATCGGGCAAGTTAGGAACTAATCCTTCCTCCAGTCGCCAACTGGAATCAGTTCCTTCTCAACAACTGTATTATAGAGTTCGATTCCTGGGGTGAAAGGGATTGGACTCCGGTTCTCGTTGGGATGTCACGTTAATTACAAAGAGGGCCGAGCGACTTAAGCCTGCTACTAATCCACAGGATGCAATAACGATGACATAACAATCTAAACAACAGTAAGGGCTTAAATAGTTATCCAGAGCCTAGCTGGCTCCCGAAAATGTCGTACATTATCTCTAATCCAAACGCACGTCCACGAGTCGAGTTAACGACTTAACAACTAACGAGAAAACCTAACATGGGGAGACCCCCGACATTGACGGGGGCGTGAGATTATGGCTAGGTGTTGAGATGCGGAGTTGAGATTACAGTTGATGGATCGAGATTCGTACGCTGGATTGGTGGCGATTGCTGAACCCTCTGTCTCTGCGGATGTTCGGGCGAATGGATGAGGAGGGATCTTAGAAGGCAGGAATCAACCGCCTTGGATTTCCAGTTCGTATGGCGTAGTACAGTGTGGTAATGGTGAATGGTGCTGTATGGTATGATAAATCGTAGAAATGGCAATTTGTTCAAACGGCCTAGAAACCTCCTATTCTGTAACAATCAAATATCGCAATAGCAGCTGGCGGATCTAGCGACAGTGGATCCGCAGCGGCGGCAGAGCGAAACGCAGGCCCAGCGCCCTTACTTTTTAACTCGCGTCAAGTTTTTGTTGGAACGGCGCTTGGAACCCACCCGCTCCGTACAATCATATGATTTCCGGCTAAACGTGGCCCAGAAGACGACCTAGAAATCCTTAGTGGATACGCTATATTGTTTCTAATTTAGAAACTACGTAAACAATAAAAAGGTATGCGGAACCAACGGATCGCCTCTCTACGGTTCGTTGAATCCCAGTAAATCGTTCTGTCCGGTTCCCTCGCAACGTTCAAAAAACGCCCTGAAGCTTCAACCTTACACCGTCCCCAGCCAGGCCATTACATGCCCCACGCGACTAGACCCGTCCGTACCCCCGACTACAGTCCGGCTGTTTACCTTTCTACCCTACCATCCGCCGCCAGGCCGCCATGCTCTTGCCCGCTCCACTCCGCACATTACTATCCCCGGCGCCATCACCCACACGGCTTGTGACCTTCCCCAGTAAAGAGAAGCGGCCACTACCTAGCACGGCATTTGCAGCTGTGAGGCCTGTGGTTCCACGTCGCATCTCTTCCATGTGGTCCACCTTCGTGCTTCTGCACCGCATCATACTCTTTCCAGCTAACGGCGTACTGCTTCATTGTAGACGCCGGTGTTCTGCAAAGGTAGCGCCACAGCCTGGGGCATTCGGACGACATGTTCTTCAAACACACCGGGCCGGCCTTGTGTCTGCGTGGCTGGTATGAAGCAATCGCGCCGCTCGCTAGGGCCCGTAATGCCACAGGTATTTCATATTTGGGCTGAAGCATAGGTGCCAATTCACTGTACGACAACACCCACCACCCGTCAAGCCTTTACCCTCCATCGCCATGCGATAACGCTGTTGACCATTATTCGTTACGCAGAGGGTCCGTGGCTCGCCAATCACACCTCAAAGTCGGGTCCTTTGTTTGGCATTAACTTTTCGGGAATCCGCGTAAGCTATGGCTCTGGCCGCTGATCCATCCGCTGGCCTTGGATGGCGCGTACCGGGAGATGGGAACTTCGTCGTTGGGTTCCTAGTCCTGGTCTTCACGCGTGTATACGCAAAGAGTCTCACCGCATTGCTCCTGTCGCAGAGCTTTTTAGGCTGCATCATGTACACATATACCCCCACACACGCACACCATCACGCTATCCCTACGATGCACGAGCCCAGCCCCCATCGACGCCAACCTCATAAAAAAACAGCTATAGCGCGCGCCTGAACGTACGGATCTGAGTACCCTTCACGACACCATGAACTGCACCCTATACGCGACATATGCAATTGAGTCCGCGCATTGGTATCTCGGGCCTTCGGCATCATTTAGGGAGGACACATCCTCATCGGCGCCCCACAATGAGATTCTTTTCATCTCCCCTGGGCCTCACACCACCGCCTCACACTGTCACGTTCGATACCGCCCCGTCCCGTCCGGACGTGGTCAGCCCACATCTCCTCACCCTCACTCCTCACTCCTCTTCCCTCACCCGTCATTCAATCACGATACGTCGTAAATGTAAGGCACAGCGCAAAACAAGTACTTTAAACAAGTCGTTTAAGCGGCATCATCTTCGGGTTGGCGTTCCGCCCGCTGCCCCAGTAGCTGTGCCAGCGGCGCTGGCGGCTGCCGCGCCAGCCTTGGCTGCGAACACAGCAGGCGCCAGCTCGGGCAGCCATCTGGCCTCGATGGCCACTGCATCTCGTGCGTAGGTCCGGGTGGTGTGCATGAGCTCGTTAAAGACCAAGCAGTCGGGCTTGCGATCAAGCAGGACGGAGCTGGGGTGCAGGAACACCTGAACATTAAGCAAGGGGAACGCGACGAGAGGATGGGAAAAGGAGGGGAAAAGCATCTAGTACATGCTAAGGAAAATAACAATAGCCGCTCTATGTGTGTGAGTTGAACCACAGATTTCAAGCGCAAAAGACGGGTGCGGCTTATTATCAAGATTTGAATGGAAAAAGCGGCAAGGATCCTCTGCGAAGAGCAAAGAAGCATGCTGATGGTGGATGTGGCAGCGCCTCCCAGTTTCCCTTCCCCCCTTTACGAAATGAGTAGATCGGGGTCGGGATCGGGCTGATCACGGGTGGGTCTTGCCCGAGTTTGTCTTCCCCCTCAGCCCGTTCCCAACCCCATTCCAGTCTCCGCACCTGACGCCCGGTGGCCAGCACTCGGTAGGACCCATCGGGTTGCAGCCTGGCGGCATGAGGAAACAGCCCAGCAGTCAGGGCCCGTCGGAGAGGTGCGGTGTCGTCGCCGCAGGACACCAGGGCCAGGCCCAGACCCGGCGGTGAGGGCGGGCCCAGGAAGCGAACCAGCTGGTCGTAAATGTCCTCGGCCTTGCGCATCGCCCTGCATGTGCATGTGTGCGTGGAGGCGCCAGTGTGCATGGGGAATTGCTTCACAGACATTAAGCCATTACTCGTTCTAGCATGGCTAGTAGCCTCTGGAGTTCCGGCAGAGTTCAGGTTCATCCGGCAAGCACACACTCACATACATACACACATGCATGCACACACGCTCATTTCCTGGACTGCTAAGGATGTACTGCGGAAGCAACGACGGGGAGATGATGACGCAGGAGGAAGACGCGGAGGAACACCGGACAAGCGGCCAGCGCAATGGCACGCAGCCAGCCAGTTAGACATGCCCGAACGCAAATGCCCTCGACAAGACTGCCACTCGCCCGCTGTACCGCATCAACAAAAAGGGCGCCAAACGGAGGAGGCTTGCGAAATGAAGACATCTCCCTTGACCCTCCCTTCTCACTGTCCCACGACTGCTGTTCACCTGATGTTAATGAAGTTGTCTGAGCACCAAGTGGTTCGGGCTTTATGGCTGTCCTGTTCGGTAGCGCAGGTGCATGATGGAGTCGCAACAGTTAGGAACAGAGCAGGGCCAGGAGAGTGTGGACAGAGATTGCGGGGACTGGGTACTCGTCCTCGGCTACGGAGAGAGAAACGGAAAGGAGACTGAATGCGGGGTTCAGGATGCAGGGGCTTTGCAACCACGCAAGCAATGCCACAGTCCATGCCATCGTCACACCGCCACCATGGCAAGTCAACAATCTTTTACCCATCAGCAATCAACCAACAAGCGCCATACAATACCGGATACAGGGTGCCGACTACCGGGGACACCAACACCGCTGATCAATACTTCCGCCTTCCTGCTCCCCCCTCCCGCGGCTTACCCACTCGCATTTCACCTTCTTCTCCCACATGAACCCCTGCCCTATCATATTTCATTGGGCCTCGCTCAGTCCTGTCTGACAACATTACCTTGGGTAGCTCTCGGAAGCCCCGGAACACGTTTAACAATGTGAGGTGGTCCCCCTCGCGGGCCAGGAACTTGAGCCGCGCAGCTCGCCACTCACGCTCTTTTGCCCTGCAGGTTCCGGGTGGAGGAGGGTGAAGAGAGGGGTTGGGTGAAGGGTTGGGGTGTGGATTACAGTCGGCGGGATGGAGCCATACGCGAACTGGCATATGTCATTGCCGTAGAAGGGCGGGGCGGGGACCACACGGACACGCGGGAATGGAGAGGGCAAACTAACATCGCCTGATGTGTTGGTTTGGCGGTGTTTCTAAGTGGCAGGCAGGAGGAAACAACGCCTGGTGTGTGAGCTCTCTTGGCTTTGGTGTCAGGGCAAGGATGACAAAATAAGGCATTTCATCCTGGGAAGCGGCTCACCCTCCGCACTTGGCAGGCAGGGCGGCCGCTCAGACGTGCCCTTCGCTTCATCATCCACCAAAGCAAAGACAAAGACGCATGCATACGTGCGGAAACTTGCACATCTTTCCAGGCACAGTTTTGCAGCATCAAAAAACGAATCGTCATTGGATGTCAAGAGCCATGGCAAGAAGTGCATTATCGTTATGCCAGTAGGAAGCCATGCCCAGATCGCCAATATGTTATTGGCATCGTATTTGATATCACCCCGAAGTACGGGAGCGTTATCTGGACAAACTGTCAGAGGGCGTGCACGGGCATCCCCGCAAACTTCTTTGCCAGTGCCCCGCCTGCCTCGCATTGCACTTCCAGACCGCATTCCCCCAGCCAACCTTCTTTCAACAGCGTATGTTAATCCTGGTATTGCCTATTCCTCCTCTCCCAATTTCCCCGACCAAACAGGTACTATAGCAGCGTGCACGTCATCCAATACTCCACATTTATGTGCAGCATAGTCGGATGGGCTCATTCGCAAAGCCCCGCCCTAAGGCCATTAGCCCCGGGGACCCACCTTGGCGTGTGGAATACGTTATCCGTGGATACCATGGCCACGACAGCCACCCCCTCCTGACCGCACCCCATCTCGCAAGCCGCCAGCAGCACCCGACCAAACATGGGGTCCACAGGCAGACGCGCCAGCCGTGAGCCCACGCCCTCAGTCAGGCGACCCGAGGAGTCCAGGGCGCCTAGGGCGTACAACAACTCTAAGGATCTGCGGGACATGGAGTTTAAGAGAGAAAGAGATAAGGTCATGCGAAAGCACACAGAGCAGGGAGGAGACCATTCACATTTCGGTATCACACTGAGCGTGATGGAGAAAGAATTGAAAGGGGAAGTTCAGACAGAGATTTGACCAAGCACAGCAGCTGGGGAGCCGGGCAGTTGGGAGGCCTGTGTGGAGGACGACGCAAGGACTGAAACATGCAACTGCAGATCCAACCCGGCCATCCCAAAGCGCGCCAGGTGGTTTCTAAAACAATTCCCGAACCTAATTGCAGGAGTCAACAACTAAGCCGGGGCTCCCTAGGTATGGAAGGCAAGGGCGGGCGGGGAGGCGAACACGCGCTTTCCCCCCCCCGCCCGGTGACCGACATCGTGAGATCATGGCCTCCCCGCCCTCCGGATGATCCGCTGGCTCACTAAGCGCTCACCGGGGTCCTTCCGCCCTGCCCTTGGGACATGCCTGCCTTCCCTCCCCCCCACCCTGATTTGGGCCAACCTCAGACCATCCTCTCATGGACCATAATTGTAGTGACGATGCGACTGTCTGCGGGAAACTGCTCCTCTGCTGCTCCTTGGGATAACAGGTGGCGGCGGATAAGCAACCCCCATCGGGGCATTTGTTTCCACGCGTGTTACGCCTCGTCCAGATACGCACTGTTCCTATCCGAAGTTCTTAATCCTAAGCCCCGATCCCACCTCAAAACCTCAGCTCCCCGTTTGCACATCATCCCATCCACGCACATGAACAAAACCCCACCTCAGAATTGCCGCTCGCGGTGGTGGGTCCATAAAGTCGAACCCAAGTACGTCCTGGATGCCCATCGCCTGGGGTTTTGTGGGGAAGACAGAGCCGCGCTAAAGCAGCAAAAGAGTTTTGGGGCAACTCCCAGGCACATTCACAAGTGCACTCACTGGCGCACACACATACACGCACTGGCTGGCATGTTGCTGATAAAAACCCGACACGCGAAAAACCTAGCTTTGCCAATCCAAGGCTGTCTCCTCGTCCGCGAATTACTAGATCTACATTTCACATCTTAACACGCAAAACGCACGGAACGCACCTTACGACCTCTAACCACCATCAAGCGAAGGGTGGGCCCTGTCACTCTTCCTTGGTTGTCCCCTGAACCCCCTTGCTAGCCCAACCACCGCCCACCACCCCGCCTACTTTGAGCTGCAGTACGACGCTCCCCAGGTTACACCTGGTGATCTCGGGCGGTGTGACGGGCGCCAGGGAGGAGAAGTCCGACTCCGTGTACAGCCGGAAGGCCTTCCCGGGGCCCTCGCGACCTGCCCGCCCGCTGCGCTGCCGTGCCTGAGCCTGGGAGACGGGCACCACCGCCAAAGACTCTAGACCCAATTTGGCGTTGTAGTCACGCGCCTTGACGTGGCCCGTGTCAATGACGTACCTGTACGGTATCGATGTACGACCATAGGTGGGCGTAAGGGGAGCAGCGGTAACAAGGAGCAGCAGAGGGAGTGAGTCCGGAACCCAGCTAGTGGTGTACTCAGTGGAAGGGAAGGCATGTGGGGTGTGCGCATATGGTTGAATGGACTAACGGACGGGAACAGGCAAATACGCGGGTAGGTAGGGACAGGGAATCGTAAGGCGGGGCCGGCCGACGGCGGGGCCGCCCCGGTCCCGTTCTTGCCCACGCATTCCACGCGCCTAGCAACACCAACGCGACACACATATGAACATACGACTAACGAAATAAACATGTAGTAATGCACACACACACATAGATGTACAACCACCACACCCAACCCAAAGCCCTCACGTACTACGAAGGCAATGCTCCCTTCCGACACACATACCACCGGGCATTATGTAGCAAGTACGACATTCGAAGCCCTGGAACCACGATCCGTGTTCGAAACGGGCCTTCAGTATATTTTCGGGATGTGCACATGCGGGGCCAGAAGCACGGGCGGAAAAACGAACGTTGACGGATGCACAGACTGATATACGGACAGACAGCCGCACACAACAATGCACGCTAAGGTGCACTGCATGGCCCCACCTGACTCCAGGGATGGTAATGGACGTCTCGGCGATATTGGTGGCGAGGATGGCTTTACGCTGACCCTCGGGTGCGGGCTCAAATACCTGGCGGCGCAACGAGGGAACGGCACGGCAAACCCGGGTACGACAAACAGGATGAAATGGGTTATTTAGGATCCGTAGAGGTTTCAAGGAACTCGTGCACTGTGACAATTGTGAGGAAAGACCCCCCATTCACTGGGCCGTAAACCGCCAGAACCCGCGAAGAGACTACGGTAAGAACTGAACCCGTTATTTGGCCTCGTCCCTTCAACAACACAGTACTTTACCGTACCGTACAGTACCGATGGCTCTGCTCTTCACGGGTCTAGAGCCCACTGTAACAACCTCACAATACAGAGAGGTAAATCAGCCTCAGGGTCCATTTTCTCCCGCTGCGCCTGAACCTCGCCTGTCAGCGCTGCCGCAACGGGCACCAAGCTCCCCCCCCACCTTCATCTGCTGCTCGGGCGGCAATGCAGCGTATATGGGCAGCACCAGCAGCTCCCGGCAGGGGTCCGCCTTGGAGCCCTCAGCGGCGGAAGGGGAGGGCCTGGAGGAGGCGACACCGGCAGGTGGCTGCAGGGAGGCCAGACGGTCCTGTGTCGCCCGGAACAGGGTTAAGCCAAGCAGGGCGCAGAGGGCCAGGGGCCGTGGGGGAAAGACGAACCACAAACGAGTGAAGCCGTGGGGACACAGGCAAATCACCGGACGTGTGAAGTATAACTCATAATAACACCAATTGCAGATGCCCATATGCCCGAGCAGCTTAGGCAGGGCCGACGGGTGGCTGCCTTGAGACGATTGTTCCTCCGTTGGGCTCATTTCAGCGCAGAACCCCCCTTACTTCCCCATCCGGCCACCCACTACCCCCAAAAGCGGCCGCAGGAACATTACCTCACTACGTTCCCCCCCCAGCAACCCTCCCCTGTCCCGACGATGTATGATCGCACCGCTTCCCCAAAAGCAGCGGCTGAGTATGAATTGCGCACAGCAGCAAGCAGCATGACTTGGTTCCTGACCTTTAGCAGCCTCTCCGCGGAGTCTATCTCATCTTGCCCGGTAAGGAAGACCAAAATGTCCCCCTCACCCTCATCTGTGTGGACCTGACGGACAGACAGACAGATAGACAACCAGGGAGTTATACAGAAACCAAAAAAAAATATGCCACACAAACAGACAGACAGACGAACAAACGGGATCGTTGTTTTTGGATCTGAAAGGATCAAGGAAGCTTTAGGGATACAATGGCAGATGGAAGGAGTACTTGATGGCTGCGGTCCCAAATCAAAAGGTTTGCAAGGAGAGGAAGCGCAAGGCGCATTTGTGGGATAGCGCTTGAAGGGACGCATCCAAGCTTGGCTGGTGTCAGGGCAAGGTGACTACGTTGAGTTGCGAGAGCCGTCTCATCCTCTACCGGGGGAATGCCCCTCGGCACAAGGCGGCGGTCCACCCACCCACTCAGCCAGTCAGTGGCTCTGCCCTCGTCCTCGTCACCCACCACTACAAGCAGCAGCACGACGCTCATGGCCGTATCCTCAGCGGCTGGATAGGCAGTCTCCACAGAACACAGCAGGTGGGGACGGAAACTGTCTACTGTCTTCTGTCAGTTAGATCCCAGACAGCCACGGCTGAGCAGACGGCGACGCAGTATCACTGAATGTGTCCTGAGCTAAAAGAAAGCAGAAAGACTGAGCCTGATAAAGCGTAATCCTCTCGTTACCACCTTAATATCGCAATAGCTTACGCAGTTATTCCCAGTTTATGAATTTAGGTGAATCGAAGAACCTAACCGAATATAATGCAAAGGATGCTTTTCGTTCCCACGAAGGTGCAAGGTGGCGCAGTACGTATTATGCAGGCTACAGCAAACCTCGTACTTCCGTTGCGCTTGTACATTCACCATCTACGGTACACACACACACACATCATACCTGTAGCGTGGCGTTGATTGCGGCGTCGAGGTAGTTGTCCTCCGGCTTTGCTGTATACATCACCTGCGTGGTGTGGAGGGAGGGTACTGAGGATTCCGTGAACTTGAACGTGCGCACGGCATGGTGTCCAAGCTGGGCAGTTGCAGCGTGCATGGGTTCTTTAACTATGCATGCCAACGTAATAGCTGGCTCAATCAGCTGGAACGAGCCAGCAACCGCGGTCCACGGCGCCGTTCTTACCGCCACCCTCCCCCACATACCAGGAACCCACCACCGTTGCCTGGGAATCGTCTAACTGTGTCAACAACCAATTAACCAACCGCCAACCCTGCTCCAAGTCCCTACCTGCACAGGGAATTGTCGGCCGCGTATCAGTGCTGCCACCGCCCCGGGGAAGTAGTCCACAAAGCGAGCTGCATCCAATGTGGCCGACATGACAATAAGACGGAAGTCGTCACCGCGCCTGGCCTAGCGGCGCATGGCCGTGATGCGCACATTGCCGTGATGCGAATGGACGCGTAGAGAGGCGGCAGGGAAGACATGTGGGCGAATGAGGGCTGGCCAGAAGTGGGATTGAATGCTCTTAGGATCGTTGGGGGTCTTGCTGCAGTGCCGATGGATTCCATGCGCTGCAAACGCGTTAGCGAATAGCTTTGAATCCAAACTGGTAGCAAACAAGGGGGCACCGATTTGATGCGTAGAAAATCAGGCCGGGCCGACCGAAGGCTGCATTGTGCAGGGCCGCTGCAGAATGAATTATAAGGAAACAATGTGCGCTCATGTGCTGCTACACGAGGACCTAATTTTATGAATGAACCGAAACACTCAAGGATTTGATGAGATGACCTTCATCTTTCCCAACAAGCCAACATCAGTGGTCTCGACCATTTTAGAATTATGTCGGTTGCATCACATGAGCAGCGAGCAAGCGACGGAAACAGACAACACAACGGGGTTTGGAAAGCGGCCAGCGTGCAACAATCCTGCGATATACGAGTGCACGTTTCTGGATACAAAAGTTAGAAATACAAAAGCAAGGAGGGCTCCAATGCGTTCCGGGACACCCCAATGGACGTGGAGGCATCTAAAACCCCGGGCCCCGCACCTGCACCCCCTTGAGCAGCCCAAACAACACGTCGGTGTGCACCGTCCGCTCATGTGCCTCGTCAATGATGACGATGCGGTACCTGCACGGCAAGAGAGAACACAAAACATAAGGTACGGGCCGTACAAAAGAGCTTCTTCGTGGGACAAGCTGGCCGCAACAAGAATCACTTTAAATGAATCCAGTTTGCTGCATAGTGCACATCTTCCCAGACCATCAACCGTTCTGTTACTCCCAGTCCCGCGCACCCTCCTGGACGCACCCGTCGCAACGGCGCCGTCTTGTCTTCATGGCAAGCCCCATTCGAGTCGTGCTCAAATGCACACTAGCCACAGCCCCAGGCTTCCCAATACTTCCCTTTTATACCCTCTCCCTCACTTCCCTCCCATTCCCCATCCATCCCACCTGCTCAACAACGGGTCCACCAGGGCCTCCCTCAGCAGCAACCCGTCCGTCATGTACTTGATGCTGGTGGAGGGCGAGGTCACATCCTCGAAGCGGATAGCGTACCCCACCTTGTTGGGGATTATTATGGCGAGGAATGAATAACTTAGGCAACAACTTAAGCAATATGAACGGCATGGTCCGGAAGTCCGGGTTAGCTGGCGGGATTGGGGAGGAAAGGGTCCTACGCGTGCAATTAACTGGTGACGTGCCAGGGGCACCGGTGGCATCTAAAGACCTGGATATTTGTGGAGTGCAAACGGTTGAGCCTCCGGTATGGTTCTTCATCTCAGAGGGTCCTGGGTTTCCCAGCAGTTCGGGGCGTTTCCCGACTGAAATCCCACCTCCTACCTTGTGCCCCAGCTTGGTACCCATCTCCTCCGCTACGCGACGAGCCACCGTCATGGCCGCCACACGACGCGGCTGCGTCACAGCAATAACGCCACCACCGGTTACTATGCTTTTGTTCGCCTGTACACCGGAACTGCCAGCGCCTGTGCCGTTTGCACCGCCGCTGTTGGTGTTGCCACTCGCAGAGCCATTCGCCTGCATCCCCTCCGTCGCAGCTCCACGGGGTCCCTCCCGGTCGGATGGGTCAGCAGCACCGTTGCTATGTAGAGCGCCACCATCGAAGCATGCTACTGCTGCTGCGCCAGCGTCTTGTTTGCCTCCAGGGTCCTTGCATGGCGCACTGTAACCAAATCGCGCACGTAGGAGGAACTGGGGGATCTGGGTCGTTTTGCCTGAGCCCGTCTCTCCGACCAGCACTAGAGTGCGGTGCTCCAGAAGCAGCTCGAGAAGCTTCTCCCGCGCGGCCCAGGCAGGAAGCTTGCGCCGTTCTGCATCTATCTGCTTTCGCCTGCATGCGGGAGCGGAGCGGGTAGAGGGGTTCACGGCAAGGCAAACACATGGAAAGCGGGAAACAGGTTAGGAGCAGCAATACGACTGCTAGGCAGTGGGATGAATTGTCGGCCACTTTGTAGAGTGCGCTCTATAACGTTTGGGCGCAGGCTCCGCACCTGCAAATTGCCAAGGCACGGGAGGTTAACCAGATCGCCAAGACACAGCAGAAATATTACAACTGTACCGGCATGTCAATATGCGAACCTAGTTCTTCTATACCGTGTTATCAATATCCGTCTCCTTCAGCCTTACCTTTCCGCCGCCGTGACTGCGTCCTCCGCCTTGCTGGAACGTCTCTGCTTCTTCGCAGAAGCCCCTCCGTCAATTTCTAACATATTTATTTGTGAACCTTACAAAATTAGAATCGAATCTTCTCCATGATATCCTAAAAGCATGCCTTACTTGGGCACGCCAACACGAATCTCGAGCTCTGTACTAGCCATAGCACGCAGCATCAAACAACAAGTCGCAAGCAATCATAATATGGGAGTAAAAAGCGGGACCCTTGTCCCGCATGCTGCGCATGACAACTTGCTGTCATGCTGGCCATGGATTGAAGCCAAATTTGAAATTGCAAATATACCTACCTGCAACTATGCAACAAAGTCGTGGCGTCAGTCAAGACCCCACGATGCTTCTTCTTGAAGTGGCGTTATGATCCAAAGGCTGATAGGGCCATATTAGCACGGCGGGCTTGCGTTGCGGAAGCCGGGTTAGTTGGCGTAAGGCCTCTGCGATAAGCAATTCTTACAGCGGAGCCAAAACGGCTTCTAGTGCTTGCAGGACACGCTGGGGCCTTTTCCGCGACGGATTTGGCCATGCCAGCTTCACTAGCTCTAGGCCAGAAGGCATGTAAAGCATTACTACTGAGGAGACCCACCAAGTTACAACAACAGGCCTTGCCATTAAACATTATCCCCAAAAAACAGTATCCCCAAAACACAGTCCAAACCCAAAACCTAGGTCCCGACAAAAGAGAGGAGAAAAACAGTTTGACAAAACCACCTTTGCGGAGGCTCCACATTTGGCACACGACAGCAAACCTTGCCTGTGCCAGTAACACCCAAAAAAGGATAATTAGGTTGAACCTGATTCCAGTTTCTTGTGCTCGTCCCAATGCAGCAAAGGATGGAAGACGTGCCCAAAAGTCCGCAACTATCAACGCTCCTAACGGTCGAGGGATCGACGTGGCAGGGTACTGCATCCAGCGCCAAAATGGCCGCCGAACACACTACATCTCACATATACATATGAATTGTCGTAGTCGAAGTCCCAAGCCACAGTTAATGCGATCAATCGATTCATCCTGTCCTGACTCTGCCTCCATCGCGTGATGTAGCGTTCTGGCCAACGTGCAATTCCCAAACAAATGTCCGCAATCGTCCTGAACCAATGGCAATCCGGACGGGCTGAGAGCAATCTGACGTCCTCGTTCTCTCTGTGTACGGTCCCGGAAATTATCAAGTGCCAACCGCCAGTAAGCTTTTCCCACTTCATCACCCACATCTGTGCAAAGTGTTCGCTGACAATTAATTGCTCGAACAGTAGCTGCGGCGTAATATCCTCACTATAGGCGTCTAAAGCAAAGGCTTATGCTTTGCCGTAATGATATGCAAACCGTTTAGGTCGCTTCGCCGCAGCCCGTGTCCGCAGCGCGGTATGAATAGCGCACGTGAGTTTGGTGCTTTATCTTTTTTGTACTGTTCAGCGCGCATCCCACCCGTCCATCCCTGTTCGCGAAGGCACTTGTTTAGGGACGTGGCGAGATGTTATGCGTTACAGGTAATATCCACCTATGTACGGTAAACTTGTGCACACACTTTATACACGTGTTGACATTGTATGTTATTCCACTTTATTTATGAAAGCGGACACGCCGCTTTTGTTCGACCAGGCACCAGGGAAAAAATGATGCATGACCACATGGCACCGGGCAAATACACCCTGTAAGAGATTCGGCCACACAACATGTATTGCCAAACAAGCACACAAAACTAGCAAGCTACACATTTTTCCCTACCATACCCAGCAACATATGTACTACCCAGTGTTTTATATACAGACAATAGCCTGCATGCACATGTCTACCGCGTACGTCTTGTATTAGCGTATGTCTTGTATCGTATTAACGATGATTACCGTATCTGCATGCTATCTACAAGGTCAAGAACACATGATGCACCAAGCGCACGAGTTGCACCAGTTGGGAGGGTTATAAAACAGCGTATTCGTCGAAGATGGCGCTGGTGCAGCTGTTGGACTGGAGGTAGGCTTTGGAGTTGCCGTGGGTGTAGGCGTGGGTGTGGGCGTGGGCGCCGCCGTGGGGGTAGGGGTAGAAAACCACGGCCATGTGAAGACGCCACCAGGCGTCGGTGTGGGTGTGGGTGTTGCGGTCGGTGCAGGGGCTGGCGCAGCGGTAGGCGTCGGTGCAACCGTCGGTGTGGGGGTAGCCGGAGCGGTTGGCACCGGCGTCGAGGACGAGGATGCAAGACGTCCTGTCTGCGCATTGAGGAGCCTAGACGGTGACGACGAGCTGAATCTGATATTTGCGGCCGCGGCTGCAATACTGTCCCGGACGGTAGCGACAGAAGCACCGGAGGTAGCTTGCAGAACCATGGCCGCCACACCAACAGCCTGTGGCGGCGGATGGTGCAAGGGAGGTGGGCAGCGACGATGTTTACGCTCGTGAATAGCAAGGAAAATAGGTCAGCAAGCTTTGTATGAAACCCGTTCAGGTAGTAGTGGCTTACGACAACCCAGTCCGTTTGCTTGCTATAGCGCACATTCATCCCTCCCATCCACTCCCCAGAGTACAAATTAGCGGAATGATATCCTTCCTAGCTTTTAAGCTACACTCACATGCGGGGCTGCCATGCTTGTGCCCGACATGGTCGCCTCCGTGTTGTCGCCAGAGTAACTGGCCGACACGATGTACGACCCGGGTGCGAAGGTGAAGACGCAGCTGCCCACGTTTGAGAAGGATGCCAGCGAGTCATCCTTGTTGGTCGCACCGACCGCGATGGCGGACGGAGCAGAGGCGGGGCTGCAACGCGAGGGGATGTGCGGTGACGGCCGCATGAACAAGTGTTTAGCAAGGCAAGTTTCAAGAGTTTCCATCGTTTCAAGAGTTTCACGCCGGCCTAGTCCCATTTCCCTGGGGTGAATTGATGATTATACTGTACCTGTAGCTGCAAGTGTCCCCGCCGTTGTTGTTGCCAGCCGCTACCACGACGACCACGCCGGCCTAGGGTCCATTACCAAAGGGACAGTCGTAGTCAACGGTAGGAAGGCAAATCGTAAACCAGAAATACAAGTATCAAGTAGGCATGCGAGCAGGTAGCAGGCACCCTGCCGTACGCTATGTACGAAAGGACACGCACCTCACGTGGCACAGAAACGGTAACCGAGCATCACGCGACCCAACTGCATCCAGAAGCCCGCTTGCATTAGGAACGGCCATGCACCCGCTTACGTTGGTAAGGTCGGCCACAGCGTCGTTTAGACTGGCGGCGCGGGGCCCGTTCAGGGACATGCCTACCACCGCCTGGCGGATACCATTGCGGCCCACGTAATCCTTGACCCTGTCAGGTGCGGGAGCGATGAGGTGCGTGCAGCGGGTACACAATCATCCAAACCTAGCTTATCCAAAGGGCAATACGGCCGTCGGGAAGGAAAGCAAGCCGATATTCCAATTTGACCCAAGGAATGTAAGGGTCTGGGGTAAGTCGGGGTTGGGCCAGTTGCCCATGCAGAACATGTAGCTACTTGCCCCTCCGTAAGGAAAATTTGGGAGGTACGGGGGAGCCCGCAAGTTTCAGGAAGGTCAGTGTCGAACCCTGGCGCGTACGTACCAGCCAAGACCGGCGATGATGTTCGAGTACGAGCCGCTGCCCGAAGAGTCCAGCACCTTGACAGGGTGGAGAATTGCGTTGCGGGCAACACCGTACACAGCTCCTAGGGCCGTGCCTGTTATTGACGGACAGGGTTGTTTTCAAGGCGGCGGCGTTCTCTCCGTAGGGTTCCAAGGTTGGCCAGCGGGACAGAAAAAGAGATAACACATTTTTCGAGATAATAATATCAAGGCTCTTGCATGATCACATGAAGCTGCACAAATTGTCGGAATCATCGACAGCGCATAACACCAGAACCTAAATGAATATCATAAGTAGAGGCCCCCAATTACCCAAAAGTCTTACCAGCCACGTGGGTGCCATGACCGTTGTCATCTTGGTAGCTGTTGCCCACAAAGGACGTACCCTCGCCGACACGGCCATAGAAGGCAACGTGGCTGGTGCGCACGCCGGTGTCCAGAATGAAGACTGTTGGGTACGATGTAAACCACATGTAGCAAGAACTCAAGTTGGGTGATTGGGACTAGATGCGGACTAGATACGGTAAGCAGGGCAGGGACCCGTCGAAGAGCTCAACGGGAGAGCTCAACGATAGACGCACCATTGAAGAAGAGAAGCGGCTGCTTATATTTCAGTCAGCATGCGGTGACACCGCACAGCACTCACCGTGCGTCCCACTACCATCCAAGCGTCCTGGTCGGTAACCGTTATCCAAAGGCAGGTTCAACTGCGGCAGGCAAGAGGGTACGCCGAAAGAGTTTAGGTCCAGCCACGCGCAGCAGTACAAAGCCAAGACATCAACAGAACGCGCCAGTACTACCTACATATGCGTAGGGGTCCCACGAATTCGCATCCAATATATGTTTCAATCTCGGCCCTCGCTTGCGCCCATCGGCTTTTTCCTCGCGCACCTGGTCGATGCGGTCCAGACCCCACGACCGTGGGTTAGACTCGGAAGTCTCCGCAGATCGGAAACCACCATTGGAAGCATCATCCACACCAGTGCCATTGCATGTGCCGGCCGCCCAGCTGTTGAGGCCCGCGCACCAGGCGTGGCAGGCGCTGCTGTAGTCCTGGCCATCGCTACCGCACACCGGCTTGTACACCTCGGCGCAGACGCAGTCCTCCCGCGGAACCGGTTTAGGACTGGCGCTCGCATTAGGGCCGCCTCTAGGATTTGAGCTAGTGCCGTTAGCGGTGTTCGAGTGCGTGGTTACGACGCCGAGGGAAGCCTGGAGGTCGACCTCCATATACTCGAGGGACGCGCCCAGCGTGGAGCGCATTCGCTCCAAGTCAACCTGTGTGCCAGCGCATGGACGTAAGTGGTTAGGAACATAGTCAAAAGCTTAAGGGCACGTGGTGGGGTGCAAAAGTTACATTCAATTCCTTCTCACTCAAGTTGCTAATGCCCACCTGCGAGTTGACTGTGAAGGACTGGAAGGACCACGGTAGGGGCGCTGCGTCGGGGCTACTCAGGTCGAAGACGGCACCCAGGGTGAACGAATCACAGGCGCCGCGGAAGCGGGAGCCGCCCTGGGGCATCGCGCCAGCCAACTCCTACAGGGAACGAACCGTGCAGGACGGAACGGCCTTTTTTTATATTGTAGCCGTCCAGGTGTCGTAACCGGCCGAAGGAAAGGCATCGTGATGCTAGGAATTCATACTGTCAGCGCGTGCATGCAGTGCATGCACGCATACCGTACGACGCGAGTCCTTCTCTATAACGAAGGGTCAATCGCGCGCTCCCGGGTCCCGGCCACACCAGCCTGTACCTAGCCTGTACCTATCCTCGGGCACTGGGCTGCTGCCAATCCTCGCCACGTCACGTAAACACCCAACCGTCTTCAGGCAGGGGGTCCTCGTGCTCACTGCGACGTGCGCTTTAGTAATGACGCACCTGGCAAATGGACTTGAGGGTGCCTAAGTTCGCGGTGGACTTCAGCTTCATAATGTACTTCTGCTGCACAGGGGCTGCTTGGTCGTTCTGCAAGTTACGCCAGGCACATAACGCACATAAGCATCGGGCGAAAAAGGGGATGCAAAAGTGGAACCGAGGCGCGAACAGTAAGGATATCATTCCGCGCCGGGCCCCCTCTTATTATCAGGGGAATGCTCAACTAAAGCTAAATTCTTCAAGCTCGGGCCTACGCACGGTTACCTTCATGTTTTTTTCGCTTGATCAGTACGTGGCGTGATCAGCAAAAAAGCCCTAAGGGACATTTAGGAGAGATGTACAACCGGGATACGGCATATGCACTACGTATGCCGTACGAACCTGAGTGGTCTCTATGTTGAGCACAGGCAGCTTGGCCGGGGTTGGCATGCCCAACTGCAGCGGCGCCAAGTCAACTCCGTTCCACTCGGACGCCGACAAGCCCAGGGACACGAGGCGCACGGAACTCAGCTGCAGCTTGAAGCCGATGCCTGATGCAGAGGGTTTCCCCCAAAGCGACACGACGCCATATATACTAACAAGGTATATAAAGCCGGCTTGCATTGGGATGGATCATCATCATACTGCTTGATATTCTCATATTGTTTTTATAGTGCTCAAGCGCGAAGTGTATAACGTGAGAATGGAAGGCGAAAATCAACGTGGTCAGCGGCGCTGTTCTTAACACAACCGTATCAGCTCACCGCTGACGTCCCTCACGACAATGCGGTTCCAGCCGCTAATGTCGGCAATCTGGGTAATGGTAGTGCCAGGGATGGTCGCCAGCTGCGCCAGCGAGATCTGGAACCGAATCCAGCCCTCGTCGTCCGACCCGAGAACAACCACGCCTTGCTGGTCGGCAATGGTGCTGTCCAGCCTCGAGTACTGGACTTCACTGTCGTTAGGTACAGACGAACGGTGCATGAAGCGTAGGAAAGGGCCACAAGCGTGTGTTTCGGGTATATTGCGACGTGTTCGTAACCGCACGTAGAATCGTGTGCTCGTCGTGCAGAAACGTTTGCTCCCAAGTGGAGCTGGAATAGCAGGCATGTCACATCGCGTGCGCGGCTGGCGTCCTGTGTTAAAACATGAGGTTACAGGTTCCTGCGCTATGTTCCTTTTGCGTGTTCAACGCACGGTGCGATATTGCCCTTGGCGACGACGAGGGAGGTCGCTGTGGGGCATACGCCATTTCGCTTTCTAAATCTATTAGTAGCTTCAGTACGGTGCACACAGCATGTTTCCAGCAGCCAGCTACTAAGAATCGTAGCCACTGAATACAGTCTGTCACACTTCCGGAAGGGCAGCGGCAATGACGCGCTGACTGAGGCATAAAACGTGTCCTAAAGAGAGAGACCGCAGGGTCAACGCGCAACAACGGGAAACCACCCTACCCGCTCAGACGACGCTGTCGAGTGTCCTTCAGGTACAAGGCAACACGCGCCACGCCCGCTCCCTTGACCCACATGTCCAGCACACTGCGCGACACATTAGTCACCCAACAGTCAAGGACGCGGAAAGGCAATACTAGGGAAGGAACAAAAAATGCTGAAAGGGGGTCTAGAGCCATTTTTAGGTGTGTGCTAGAGATGAACCGAGCACATGCAAACAGTGGTCTAGCACTTTAGCGCTTTACTGTTTAGCCCTTTACTATCAGCTACGTAAGCATGCAGTGTTAAGCATGCCGTGTTGGCATGGACATACCTGCTGCCCGAGAATGCACCGTCGGTCTCGAAGACCAGCGCGGCCCAAGGCGCGATCTCGGCATATATGCTGGCGTTGTCGGCGGCACGGCGCTGTGGCACGGTCGGGTGGGAAACGTACGCACATTCATTATTGCTAGCAGCGGCCCTTGGAACCAAACATAACCACAATATCAGAGGATCAATCCAAACGGAAACAGCACAAAAGGATTGCCAGCAGACCATTATCGCACGCCCGGCGATCGAACGGACAAGATACATCTTTCACTACGGCGACCTTTATTTCATCATCATAGCGTGACGCTGCCTGCGCGTCTCACCCGAATGACGTCAGTAAAGTTGCAATCAACGCAGCCAAGTGACGCTGACCGCCAGCCGGACGCCAAGCCGCCAGTGTACGGATCGGTGATGTGCGTGATGGTTCCGGCCGGCAGGACGGATACAGCGCCACCGTTAATGGAAGCGATCAGGTCGCTTGCAGGGGGATTTGTTACTGATGCGATGGTCCCACTGGGCGGGGAGCCGACGGCGTTGCTGCTCTTGGATGACGACACGCCGCCAGTCGATGCTTGGACCGGGCTGCCGGTTGAGCTCTGTGCATGGGATGAAAAGAAACAGAATTGACGCCGAAATATCAAGAAATGCCAGCTTTGGATGGTAGTATATCCCTGCTTTGTTTGCGTGGGGTATCGAAAGACATGTACGAATACAGGACTGAGGATTAAAGCTGAGGGCATGAGCGACCCACATCACAAATAGTTCCGATCAGTTGATTCAATGCTGGCTTCATGTGGGTCGCTCAGGTTTGAAGGGTTGAAGACATCTACCTTTATACTGAACTATTCCGTCCTGTCAACCTCAACGTTCCTGCGTCCTCTTGCACTTTCCGCATCATGAACACGGCCCCGCTGTTCAAAAATCTGCCCCACGCTTACATTATAGGTAAGTTTAACTGTCGTAGCCGACAAAGAGCGACCGGAAGCGGTAACCGACAACGGTCGCAAGAAGAGCGTGATGAGGAGCGGAAGAATGGCAGAGGCTGCGGCAACCTGGGCGGCGCGGTGCGTATCGCGGCCGGCCGCCATCGCGGAACCGCCTTAGCTGACAACTGTTAAGGCCCGAATGAAGGCCCTTGTCTCCAAAACGTGGTCTCGTAATGGAGAGGTTGAGCACCTCAGGCGGTTGCAAGGCCGCTCAGTTGCGGTATTCGGTGTTACCTGCACGATGAACGAAGAGCAGGCGGGTGAAGAAGGAAAGGACTCGCGCGCAACTCGGCAGTCAACTACAACGCGGCATAGGGCCAAGTGCTCGGAAAAAGACATCTTGATTGCCATGAACGTGCTTTTAAAATCTGAAAGCTCTGTGGGCCTGCCTTGGCTTGTAATTACGGCCTGTTGGCCGTTTTATTTGCCAAGATCAAGTAAGGCAGCGGCTTGACTGTGGTCACACGAGCCGCAACCATCAGTCAAGCTCCGACGTGGAGGTGATTCGCTTTTCGGATCCAACTCACCAGGACTGCTTGAAGTCGGCCTCTTTGTCGGCGCAACCAGCGAGCACTCGTATGGGAGTTGGGTAGGGACCAAAGGAAACGATAAATAAGGGAGCCGCTCACCGGGTATGAACTTACGAATCACAAACTTCTACTATCTGTGACACGATAAAAATGAGCTGGCGATGGGCTTTTATGCGTCTCGCAAGCACGGAAGGGCATCAAATGCCGTACGCATCCCCTTGGCATGCCGTCTGGAAAAAAGTCAGCGGAGAACGGGCCAACGTAAAGTAAGCGGCCACGTGGCAAGGCAAGCTGCTGGTGAAGCAAGCTCGTCTTCTTTTTTCTGGTACTTAAACTGGTATAAAATAGGTTGATTTGGGTAGGTTGAGCAGCAGGATTAGCTTATGTTTCGACGTCTCCTCAAATTCCGTCGTGTTAAAACGTGCTTTCCCTCCTAATCCATTAACAATTTCGGCTTCCTCTAAAAATATGTAGACTTTCTGATCAGCTATGGGCCATGACCAGCAATGGGGCTTTGGCTGGCTGTGAAAGCCCTATATTACAAACAGAAGGAATGCGAGAAGGGGGCCGCCGTCACAAACGAAAAGCATGACACCTGGCATGCAGGCAGGGAAACGGTGTTGAACTGACTGCCAACACTCCCACATCCAAGGACGGATGAGTCACAGCTCGCTTGCTTCATGCAGACGACGTGCTTCCCACATGATACATTATTGCCAAGAATGCACAGCAAATAGGATAACAGGGCAGTGGCGATGGTTGGGCTAGCCTCGTCCTCCCTTTGGGGTGGGTGGAGGAGCTGGGATGGAAAACACGGTCGGAAGTCCGTTCCGTGTCCGTGCCGTTTGCAAGACCTGAAGCCCGCACGTCTGGGTGATATTCGGACTGGGGTCTTATGGTGGATTACGTTGGGTCCTTTATGTGCCAAATGCTACCGGGCTGCTTGTACTCTCATATGTGGCCTGTGTTAATAATAGCGGATGACGTCTGGAATTATTTTTGAGCATCTATAGGTCGTGGCCTGGTATAATAGACAAGAACCATCCATAGACGAATAAAAAATTAGACGGAAATGCATATTGCCTCCCGTAGCGACAACAGCTGCCCATGACGCGTGGTGTCGCATTTGCCCAAGGGAATGTTTCAGTGTTGAGCATGGTGAATTGCTTCGTTGGGAGTTCGTTGGGATTCCTTCTCAAGCAACACCCCCTGGCCACCCTTTCCTTCCAATCAACGATGCGAACAAGCTCGCTTGTCAGTTGCAAGCCAGCGATGAGGATTCCTAAGCTTTCACGTCTGAGTCCAATCTCTCAAGTCTGAGCGTATTAACTGTCTATCCAGTGATGTCCAGTTAGTGCCGCCTGACCGAGTTCAATTTGAATAAGGCCCACAGAGGGACGTTCTGACTGGACCCGACTGTAACATCGCAAGCGGCTTGCAGTTTTCCAAAAGTGAAAACACTCCACCTATTTTACAGTCTGCGGACGGACTACAACCCATTTCACACGCGTGTGAAATGCCAAACCGATGGTACGTACGTACGTACGCGCACATGGTAGCCCGCATGGTAACCAGGAATATCTGGCACAAGTAGACTAATATGAGGAGAGGCAGCATGGCAGAGGCTGCGGCAACCTGGGCGGCACGGTGCGTATCGCGGCCGGCCGCCATCGTGGAACCGCCTTAGCTGACAACTGTTAAGGCCCGAATGAAGGCCCTTGTCTCCAAAACGTGGTCTCGGTTGAGCACCTCAGGCTGTTGCAAGGCCGCTCAGTTGCGGTATTCGGTGTTACCTGCACGATGAACGAAGAGCAGGCGGGTGAAGAAGGAAAGGACTCGCGCGCAACTCGGCAGTCAACTACAACGTGGCATAGGGCAACGGGCTGGGAAAAAGAACTTCTCGACCGTCAAGCGTGCTTTATGAAAAGTAAGATTTGTATGCCTGTGCATCTTGACGGGTGTTTACTTCGTTTGGCCCAAACGCAGGGAAGGACGGAAGCAGTTTGACTAGGTTTGACTCTGGCTGGCTAACTGTACAAACCGCAACAAGTCAAGCTCCGACGTGAACTTGACATACATAGTTATTTTTTTGATTTGAATCAGCAGGACTGCTTGAAGTCGGCCGCGTTGACTCCGCACCGAGCAATCGTATGGGACTTGGGCATGGGTCTGTCGGGGGTTCCGTACATAAGAGAGCTGATTACCAGATAGATAAATCAAGAGACACAAAACTCAATTTTTGGGCACTAAAACCAAGATTTTGAGATCTGGACGATGGGCTTTTATGCATCCCCAAGAGCGGAAAACGTAAAAAGTCGTACGGATCCCCTTTTGCATCTAGGGGTCAGGCAGCCACGTGTAAACAATCATGCTGGTAAATCAAATTCGACCGTTCACCTTTTCTGCTTGAACAGGTTTCTAAAAGGCCTTCAGCAGCCAGGCTTCGCTGTCGACACCTATCGACGTCTCCGAAAGTTTTCATCGTCTGTGAACACGACCGCGGTTGCACTCCGTACCAAACTAATGATTTCAGACTGATATTCATATATATGGTAGATCAGCTATGAGCTATGACTATCAGGAGGGCTTTGCCTGACTGTCACAATTCCGGAATAAACACAAATGCTGTGCACACGGTAGGGGCCTGATTTTGTGCGTGGCAGAAAGGAACCATCAACAGATCTCTATGATTATTGTTTAACGTCATCGCGCGCTTTCGGCATCATCCATCTCGTAGAGCCCGCCGCACCTGGGGTTGTGAAGTTGCGTAAACTCGAACCCAGGATAGCAAATTCCTGAGGTCCTACACGAATATGGATCCCATTGGCACCAGCGCTCGGCGGACAGCGCACGCGCACGACGCCGCTGGAGAGGCGCCGCCTAACAAAGCGCGGCGACTGACCGCGGAAAGCGGCGTCGGGCCAAACGGTGAGCAGGTGGCTCGACGCCACTGCCTCCAACGCTTCGCAGCGCCCGGATAGAAGTGGCTATATCCTTATCGCATCCGATGAACATGACAATAAGCCAGACAACCTCAGCTCCTGCCTCCCTCGTTGCAGAAGTTCGCACGCTTTTTGCGCTAACAGACCGCAAGCGCGCGCCTGCATATACGTGCACACCCGCACAGCCCGACCCAATTCCCCGCGACCCACATACCCACAGGCTCTCTGTCCCATAGCAACCCCGCATCCCCGTGCAGCGCTCCCCGCGGTACCATCACGTCCGACCACGCCGCCATCGCCGCCATCGCCGGAAATGGGTCAGCTGCGGACAGCAGCCTCCTAACCCACAACCATTCACACTACCAGCAACGCTATCAGCTCAACTCTGGCGAGGCAGCAGCTGCCGGGATGGGTCTGGAGGAGGGAGGGCATGAAAGCCAGCGGCTAGAGGTGAGGTGCTGTCCTATCCATCAGCGCGCCATAATAGTTGGTCATAAAATATGGTCATTGCGGACTGAGCCTCGGGTTTGTTACGGGGGCAAATGTTGGTGGAATATCGCTTCGTAAAATTAACTAGGTAAATACTAACAGATACAAGTCATCGTAAAACACAGATCGCACGTACGTTGTACCACGAGTTGCGGAGGTGGGCACTTCATTATGTCGCATTCAGGATGCATCAGCACGTAAGCTAATGCAGTTTCGTTTATGTTGCTGGGCTTTGGAGGCAAACAGAGCCCGAAGGGGCAAGCACCATGTCCCCAGGGAGCAGCAGATTTGCCGCTGTTGTGACACCAATAGCCAAGTCGAGGATGAAAAACACGTGTTATTGGAATGCCCAGCGTATAATGATAATCTCGCGGGAAAAGGGAAGGATTCAATCATCAACAGAGCATGTTGGAAGCCATGAAATGGGAGCAGCACATTTGGCGAGAATGTTGGAACGTATGGGGGCTCACCGCAACTCGGTTATCCCCCTTGGGCGCTAGTCTGGGCTGATAGTGCGGTATTTCCTTTTTTCGTGCCTTTTAGGCGTTCAGGTCCCTCGGCCCTTATGGGTAGCTTTACAGGTATGAGGTCACGCACCCCAACCATGTAACACACATACACACATACACACACATGCGCACGACCGCCGAGCAACCCACACATCCTCGTGATGGCATGGCCGTTCCTTGGAGCGGTGCGGTCAGGGCTGCATGCAGCAAGCTTACGATTACGACTGCGGCTCCTTCCTTGGTGTATAACGCATGGATAAAGCACGCCTTGGCAACCCTGTACACGGTTCTCCGCTGCGCTCGACACCAACAAACACGCACAAGCAGCAGACATGGGAAAGGAAAGACTTGCTTTAGTGCGCAGACGCAAACGTGGCGCAGGGGGAGCTGTGTCCTCCCGTAATCGGAGGCCCATCCCAAGCTTGCCCCGTCCTGTTGTGCCCGTGTCCTCCAGGTGGCGCTGGACGATGGCGGCGAGGAACAAAACCACCGCACCGCCGCCGGTCGCCAAGACGGCGGCGGTATCATCATCGGCGGCAGCGGCGGCGGCGGCGGGTGCGACGACGCGCTGGCAGGACATCATCACCACCACAATGACGCTGACGGCGGAGGCGGGGGCGGAGGCGGAGGCCATCCTGAGCAAGAGGTGGCGATAGAGGGGCCTGTGACGGAGACCATTGCCGCAGGACTTCTCGCTCTGCGCCAGCGTCGCACCGCCATCGAGCAGCAGGTGTGCACCTGCCGCCTGACTATTGGTGTGTCGTACTACCTGGGTGTACAACTGCGTAGGCGCGTGCAAGGACGTATGATGTACGGCAATGAAGGCAGTGCACTTTGTATGTACGACAATGAAGGTCGTGCAGCCGTCCAGCGGTTGAGCGGCAACGAATTGAACAAGTTGAATTGGCAGGAGCAGACAGACTGTAACGCAGCGGCTGGCTGTCGCCTGCTGTCAACACGACTCAGGTTGCTTATACCCACATGTGCCCACATGGGGGCAGACGTGGTTCTCATAACATTGCCCCAGTGGCAACCGTTTCCACAGCGCCAGCGCCTTACCACACGTCTTGTTCAGGAGGGAATCACATCAAAATCCCCAAGTATGCATACCGATTTCACCTACCAAACTAGTTGGGCTGGAGGGAGGACAGCGTCATGTAGCCTGGGGGTGCGTGTCGCGTCGTCTGGGGGTGCGTGTCAACGGGTTGCATTCAATGGCAAGGCGCCACGGGACTGCGCCACCCCGCATGTCTTTAAGTGTCGATACACACACATACACACACATACATACATACACGCATACGCACACACACCTTCATGTTGTACGGTAGGTTCATGCTGCCGGCGATCCCTACTGCCAATGCTGTATGTGCCCTTTGGAGCTCGATAGCAATCTGCTGTCGCAGATATGCGTCCGAACCCCCCCTAACCCACGCCAAAACCCCGTGTGCATGCACGCCAACCCGGGGTGGTGTCGACACGGACGCTGACACCACCTCGCTTATTGTGGATGCCACCTGGACGCCGTTGGCCTGATGACCATGTGTGTGGATTGGCGTGGTGTGGCTTGGGGATGGCGTGTCGGCGGAAGATCGACGAGATAACAACTGGTACGTGCCTGTATGGGGGCCACGCGTGTGCAAGGAACTATGGGCGGAGCGGGTCTGGGCCGTCGCTTGATGCCAATAGCCTGAACTGTTGGAGCCATTGGTTAGTGTATGACACCCTACCGATTATTGGTGAGCTAGCATAGCAAGGCGTAGCTTGGCGAATAGTGGAAACCAGGGACCCCGCTGCAGTTAGACGCCATGTTAGATGCCATTACATGTAACATTACAGATGCCATGTATGGGGCTCCTGTATTGGGGCCACCGACTCCCAAGAGGAGTTTATGGTTCCATAGGGTTCCATCCTCCATACAATTCCACTACGGGACTTACTGGGGGCATGTCCGTTATGGCAGCAGGAAAAGGGGCCCCAGGTGGGAAGATGATTTTAATGTGTTTCGCGCAAAACTGGTCCACGTTTCGTATGGTGGTAAAGTATATATGCTATAACCTCCAGCACCAGCGCTAGCCGCCGGGACGTCGTAATGATGATTTTACGTTCCCAGGTGATCGGCATTGGGTGCGCCAGCGGCCTCATCTTGTTGGTACATCACGTTTGCGTCGTTGCCGCACACGGTAGGACCGTCCCGTGAGCCATTTACTGTCGTAGTATCCTGGAGGGCATATCACCCGGGATCTGCATCCACCGTCCGGTTCTTTTTTTACTGAAAAAATCGTGATATAACAAGTGGTGGTGGGGGGGGTAACAGCTGTCCTTGGTTCTGACTATCTGCTCCTGTTGTTGACCTTGCCACAGTGGCATTGGACTACTTGGAGGCCACGAAAAAAGACTTTGTTGAGCGGATGGCAAGGTATTTGGTTTTCTCGAGGGTTGGTGCTTTTGCCTATCCACCAAGCCGAAGCAGTAGGCGCACTTCCTGCGCACTGCGGCACACACGGGGCCAGGTGACGAGGAAGGAGGTCGCGCCGGCGCACTCGCTCTCCTCAGTCAGCCGCCTGCCTACCACCCTGCCGCCATACTAGTCCGCCCTGCCGGCACGCACGCAGTTGCATGGTGTTTTGGCCTTCTGTGCTTATAAACAATCCATGCTATAACATACGTACAAACGCGCATACAAGCACAACGTGAACATCTTAATACACATGCATGATATTGCACACATGTGCAACCCCCGCAGTCCAGTCCATTGCCCGTTCCCTGTCTTCCGCTATCCCTTCCATCCTCGCTCAATCCTTCCCCTCTTTTTTCCTCTCAGCTCAGCGATGTGTTGCGTACAGGGTCAGGAATTCCCACCCGTTCGATATGTGCCAAGCGCCTGCAGGCATATGCTTGCTAGATTAATACGCGCACTACCACCATCACCACCTCCTCCCCCGTCACCTTCACTCGTTCTTGGATCGTCTTTCTCCTCCGTCACCTTCCTCGGCAGCCATTCGCTTGGAAGTGGAACTTGGCGCAGTCGTTTCGGACATCAGCAGTTGATGCTTTGGACCTGGCAATGGCAGTTGATACTTCTGCATCACACACGCACACAGCTTTCCTCTCCCTGGATATCTCTCTTTCCTCACACCTGCAGACTTAAGAGCAACGTGGCAATGTACTGCAACAGCCAGGTTGCGGAGTGGCGGGAGACCAACGCGATGACCCAGGAGGCCCTGAGCCGTCTAGATGCCGCCCGAGCGCTTGTGAGGTCGCTGGGGCTCAACGCCAACAAGGGGGGTATGCCGCAGGACCATGAGGACGACGCGGCGGCGGCGGCGGTGCTCTTCGGCGGCGGAAGCGGCGGCCACCAGGGAGTTGGCATTGGTGATATTGGCGATGGGGTTGGAGGTGGGGATGGTGGCGATGGCGGGGGCAGCGGTGTTGGGCTTGGCCAGGACTGTGTGGGGCTAGGAGAGTGAAGGAGCAAAAGGACTGCAAACGAGCGGAAGGAGCGGACAAGCGAGCAAGGGCTGCAAAGGAGAGCCCTGGGGATGGAGCTCTACGGACAGCTATTGTAAGAGTTGGCAGTGGGAGCGGCGACAGTGATACTTGAGGCCGGGCTCGGTGCGCAGGTGTGGGTGTTTCGGTGTGTGCGAAGAGTGATTCTAGTGCAGGGAACACGGGATGGAGAGCTGTGCGCCGTTGTGGAAAACGGTTAGTCCAATGGGTGCTATGATTTAATCGTTGCTGAGGAAAATGCTCTTCCTGGTAAGGTGCGCCCGCGTGTCCTCGCGTAACTCGATCGCGTAACCCTTGTCGCGACAAGGGTGCCTCGGTCAGTTAGCGGCCCCCAGGCGGCACGCGCACACCTACGGCGCGAAAAAGGAATCATAAAGGACTGGATGAATGGCGGCTGGATCAGAGTACCTGCGCTCGTGTACCGATGTGCGTCTGCAAACCACGAGGCGCGCGTGTGCCGCTGTGCGAGACACGACCTGTGTAACTAGAGGTTACAGGGCTAAAGAGGAGGGTTAGGCCGCCTAACGTTGCGGCAACGATCTGAGTTTGCGAACTTGAGTCTGACGTTAAGAAGTAGCTGCATAATAATTCAGTCGGGGCTTTATAAAGCAAACTTTTCCTGGCCAGCCGGCGTTTGATGCAAAAAAGGACTGCTTCTTATAGCGCTTGTACACGTATACACGGAAAGCGACTCCTCCTTCGTGGTCGTGGGCCTAACCAGCAAGATCCTCATGCTCAGCTGTATGTATCATGAAATCCGCAGTCGCCCAAACAAACGGAAACGGGGCCCCCAACCTGTTCCACATGCTAGGGAACCACTCTGTGTCCCCGACAAGGGCTAGCCTGCCCGCCTGTTAAGAAACCCATATCAGGATATCCGGATAAGTGAAAACTTTAGGGAAACCACCCTCTGTCTACGTTCCTACGCTATACCGCTGCGAGAAAAGCGCTTTCAGTTTAGGAGTGAAGGTGGTCTAATAGTCACACGGCCGCCCCTTCCCCTGCCGCTGACCTGCTGCTCGAGACACCTGTGGTTCCTTTAGGGCCATCCTCAATGCCTCGCCCCTCGCCTGCCTCCCCGTCCCCTGCCCCAATGGCCGCCTTTCTGGATCCGCTCAGATTTTCCGTCGTACCTTTATCTAGCCCAGCGCCAACCCTACCATCTTCCCCCAAACCCCCAAGGGATTTCTCCTTCCAGTTCCCCAGGTCCCGCCCTAGCCCGTTCTCGCCAACGTGGTCCGCCACAGCCGCGAGGCCAGCGCCACTTTCTCCCCTGTTTCTCCGCCTCTGTCGGCTGCACGACACCTCCGCCAACTTGCCCTTCTCGACATCGTCCACACACTCGCCCTTCTCCAACCCCTCCTCGCCTTTCTGCTGCTGCTCTTCTGGCCACTCTTCGCCCCATCCCTGTCCCTGTGTCGAAGCCCCCGGACACGCGGAGTTTCCATCTCCCCCCGCGGTCCCAGAGGATGCGCCAGCGGTTCCGCCGGCAGGAAGCAAGGCCCACGGGTTGTGTTTTTCCGTGTTGTAAGGCAAGCAGCTCTCCACCATGCGCTTCAAAAAGACGCTCTTGACCACAATTTTCGTGTTGTAGGGAAACTCCTGCGACGTAGCAAATGGTAGCAATGCATGTTATGTTTACACGACACGAGTCTAATGTACACTCGCGCCTACCTTGAAGTATAGTCCCACCAATGCCGCCACCGTGGACAGGCTTGCGATACCGCCAATGTCCACCAGTACTACCGAGAATCCGCTGCCGTCCTGGGGGCCCAGCGCCTGCTGGTGCACGCCATACAATGTGCTTGTCAGAAGGAAAAATTGCTTACAGCATCAAAATGCACTTTCGTGAAGCTAGGATGGAAGGTCGGATGCGCACAGTTTGGTTCCTTTTAAGCAAACCCGTGTGTTGCGGCATCCAAAACCTTTGGAAGGAAACACCGAGAGGTCCCGGGTTGAAAGCCCGAAAGCGTCGCGTGATGAGCGGTATTTGCTATTCTAGCTATCCCCTGCTGAAGTGTCAGGTGCAGGGAGTGCTTGGGTGCAGATCGCCAAGGGGTCCCCGGCCAAACACGTCCTCAGCATCTTGCAAACACAGGACATCAGCTGCATCATGCGAAAAATCAAAATGTTTATTTCTTGCATAGACGCTCCACAGACTGCTGTGGCTCTTAGCCTGCCATCAGGACCTAGATGTACTGCCATGAAAGGCCCTCCACTTCTGGCCACGTTCGGCATTTCAACTATCCAAATTTCCCAACCACAAACCCCAACACTAATCACACAACGACTACGTCACTGACCCACCTTAAGCGTTGGCACATCGAAGCCATCCACTTCCTCGAACCTCAGCCCCGGGTAGCGCCGCCGCGCTGCTGCCACCGTGGTCGGGGACTTGTCCACACCCACGATGTAGCGACATCGGCGACTCAGCAGCCAGGTACATTCGCCTGGCGAATAGGAAGGAGGGAACTCGGCAACTCCAGAACTCCACAACGACACAGACGTTTTGATGTTTTAGGTGCAATCCTCGAGACACTGACATTCGCCAGCCCGAAAATCATCGTCCATCTCTCCCGCCTCAGCGTGCAACCTAAACTAGATCCCCAGCCATGCTGGGCTGTTCGCTCCTCCCGGACCGCCCACCTTGCGGCCCAATGTTGAGTTTCCCACCTTTTACCCCCCCACCTGCCCGCCAGCAATGCCTTCTGGCGGGGCCCCAACTGTGCAGGAAAAGACTTTCTTCAGGTTTAGAGCCCCAACTTGTAAACCCGCATATCCTCACCTTCATGTGACCCTACCTCCAACACGGCATCGTCCCAGTTGACCACCGAAGCGGCACAGGTGCGGTAGTGCGTGGTGGAGTGGCAGAGCAGCACACGTTGCTTGACCTGTACCACCGTCGTGTGCAAACGCGAACGTGTGCGTATATGGGGTTGCGGATGTGTATGGATTGGGTTCTAGTTGCTTGTGTTCAGCTGCTTGGATTAATTAGGTCGTGAGAGAGGCGGTCTGGGGAAGAGCTGGTTCGGAACGTAGTCTGAAGGTGACGAGCCTTCGAGCCCACACAAGCTGGCCGAGGCGCGAGGGTGAGGAAGGAAAGCCTGCATTCTCCGAAACCAGGGCTGGCGGCGAGGAGGAGGACCAACTGCGTCACCCGCACCTGAACTGTTTTTCGAAGATTCGTCGGCCGAGCGTAGTATGTCTTTCCATCAATTTGGTACTTGATGCGGATGCGGCCGTAAAACCGCGACCCCGGCTCCGTTACCAGCGGCTCAATTACCTCAGCCCGACCATAGTTACGGACGTCCACGATGTCACCAACACTAAAGTTATTCATTCATATACAATTATATAAATTCGGTGTCGAGTGCGAGGATGGAGGTGACTAAATCTAACTTGCAACCTTTCTCCCTGAACAGGACGACCGTTTACCATACTAGTTTACAAATGATACAAGTCCTGAGTTACATCCTCAGTATGTGCGCTGGCAAATTGCAATAACTTTGCTTTGAAAGACGACTACCGTACGGCAATATTTTGTCGAAAGCAACAGATCAGCTGGCAGCTAGGTGTACTGTGTTGAAGGAGGTTATCTTTATGTTTAGATGACTCTAGTACCTCTGATGCAAATGCCGCAAGCACTTCTAGTTCACGCCAGGAGTTGCGATGTAGGCTGCCTCCATAACGGATGGCAAAACGTACAGCATTAACATTTAAGAGATATGCCGTTGGTTTAAATGTCGAAATATCTCCTTGCGCAAGCCATGGGTTCTGTATCCGCACCGTCGCTACAGGCTCCGGCTGCCGCTTGCCGGCGGATATGGATTGTAGCCCTTCTTATGTCGGCTGCAATCGGAAAAGCACTGCAGGTGTGTATGTATGTGTAGCTCGTCAGGCTCAAGACTGTTGCTTGCGACTGTCGTTTAAACGAAGCCTTCTCAGGTACAGGCACAATCAGATGAAAGCCCAGTCGTGTTAACAGAAGCATCAGGTTTTCATCGCGCGATATCTGACGAGGAAATGGTAGGCATTTACAGGTGAGTGCTGTGCGAGGTGCCTTGAGTTGCTCGCAATATGCGACATTAAAACTATTTGCATGACGCATATACATTTCGCAGGAATGGAACCCCTACATTACAGTGCTTTTGTAGAGTTCCGCTAACCAACCAATCACCGATGAACCAACCGACTAACCAACTGACGAAGCCCCTGCCAACCTTGGAGATCGATATCTCCCACCCACCCCTGCCCCTGCCCTGCCCCTCACCATCATGCTGTTTGGCCCCCGACATTCCGGGTGTCAATTATCCGGGGAGTTGCAAACAGGGAGAACCAGAATGTGGACTGGGTGCCCTGGGCGGGGCGTAAGTACAACGTCAGGCAGCTGTACAAACTGGTCGACACGCTGATCAAGGGGCGGCCCCAGAAGTACCTGAGCCTGGTAGTCGTTAAGGACAACCGCATTACGTTTCTGCCGCTGGCGGCTCGACCCATGACGCTGACCATGAATAGGGTGGGTACGGGTCGGGCTAGGGCCGGAGCAGGGGTGCCTTGGGAGGGCAAAAAGTCGGCGCAGGGATTGCGCATGAAGCTGGATAGGGTTATTAGCTTGATGGTCGGCTCCTGCATCAGAGGTGTGCGGATCTCTTGAGGACTGAGGCACGTGTGTGTGTGGGTGGGTGTGTCTCAGGTTACATGCTTGCGTTTATAAGCTTGCGGGCCAGGGTCCCGGGGCCATTTCGAAGGCTCGAATGAAGGTTGGGGCAGTGGGTGATTAGGCCAGGAGGGGTGCTTGGAGCGTGACAAGAGGGCGCCTGACGGGCGCAGTCGTTGGGATGGGGGTACGGTGCTGACGGTCAAATCGTTATTATGGGGTAACTAACAGGCCCACAAGATCAGACGACCGCGTTAGTGGGTGGGTCCGTCGGTTAATGTGCGCTAGCTAGCTAGTGCTCCCGTTGCGTCGAGGGAGGACGCTGGGAGAGTGGGGGGACGGTGTGTATATCGAATCGCCCGGCATTGATGATGCACGGTGCCAAAACGGTCGAAAAGCGCTGGTTGGTAACTCGTTGCCCCCCTGTCCGCTTTCCCTCGTTCACACATGCCTAAACACACACACACATACACGCACACGCACCCGTATGTTTTCCCACCCCACTTTCACCTTGCCCCTCCCCGTCTCCGGTCGTTCAGATGAAAGCTATCGTCCAGGGCCTTCGAAACGGCACCCGCGCAGGACTTCAGTTTCCGAACACAGTCTTCCTCATGAACGTGTGGGACGAGGGGAGATGCCATCGCGATGAACCCGCCAATGCATCCGCCTCCATTGGCGCCCCTGCCACCAGCACCACGAGCTCCTCCAGTGACCCGGCTTTCAGGGCCAAGGCGCCGCGCTGCACCGTGCCCGTGTTTTCGCTGATTAAGAGCTGGGACTACGAGACGGGCAGCTCCAACGAGACGGATGTGTTGCTGCCCTTCTTTAACCATGTGTACGGCAACCTGGTGTTTTATCCCTGGGAGAAGAAGGTCAACAAGGCACTCATGCGGGCAGCCATGCAGGTGCGTGTGAGAGTGTATGTATGTATGTACTTGTATGTATGTATGTATGCATGTACTTGTATGTGCATATGTGGGTGCGTGTTTGCCTCTTAGAAATGCTGTATGAATAGTGGGAGGCGAGCCGGAGGAAGAGATTGTTACGGGATATGTGGGTGGGAAAGGAGATTGCCGCACCCACTGCTACACCGGAAGGCGGATGTCTGCCGCAAACACGGGGAAAGGGAGTGGGCGAGTGGGTGGGGCTGCAGGAGACGATCTTGAACTTGTGAACTTGTTATCCTTGTGACTGCACTTTTTTAGGTAAAAAATTTTACGTCGTGCCGATTCCAATCCCCAACCCGTCCCCACAACTGTTCAACCGCCAACGGTCATTAGGCCCAGATGCGACCCAACTGCACACGGTTGTGGATCATTGAGTTGCAACGGAGCAACCCCGAGGGGCGCCGGCTGTTAGATGCGGGCATCACTAACAACCTGAGCAAGCGCAAGGACATCAAGCTGGTGCGGATTCTGTGGGGAAGAGAAACGGGTGGTGGGGTTGGGGGGAGAAAGAGACGGGCGATAGGATTAGGGGACTCGGGTGGAGGCGGGATTGGCAAATGGGGAAATAGGGGAGTAACGGGGATTGAACCCGAGTCCTAACATAAATCTAGCTACTGGACACCACCGCCGCCGACGCCGCGGTGCGCGCCACGCACCACCGCGTCCAGTAGCCTGCGACACCACGTCTGCGGGGCTGGTGTTCAGGGGAGGAGGGCAGCCGAGCCCTGACAGGGGAGGCGGTGTCTTAGTGTTCAGACGGACGATACACTATGGACGGTACCAGGGGAGTTGTTGCTGGGCTAGATAAGGCAAGGGCAGCAGTTGATTTGCTGCATATTTGGGGCCCGACGCTGCTGCGCAAGGTGGTTGAGGGTGGAAGACCGTGCTGAGGCGTTGGTGAATGGCCACAAAGACCTTTTCTTACCGATCCTCCTCCCCATCCTTCTGAACCTCTCCACCGCTAGGTAGACTTTGTTCCCATCCCCGATCACGCGCGCTACCGCTACCTGCTCTCCGCGGACGGCTTCACCGCCTCGTGTCGGTTGGGGAAGCTGCTGGGGACCAACAGCGTGGTCCTCAAGGTGGTGCTCGGGAGGGAACTGTGGGGGCCCGCCTGAGGGGGGCGAGTGCAGACGGGTACATGAAACAAAGCCGGTGTGACTGAGTCACAGCTTAGGACGGGGTGTGTTTGGAGGGCCAACCCACGTGTCGGGTGGCGTACGTTGACCCAGACGAGCTCGCGGGGGTATGGCCGCTCATCGGGGTATGTGTGTGTATGTTTGTATGTATATGCACATGGCCTGTTCAGAATGTCGACACTGAAACCCAAACCCTTCCCTCCCCCTCGCTCTCCCCCAATCTACGGTTCCCCACTCGGGGTATGTACGGATGTGTCTTTCAGGAAACGACCCCCTGGATTGAGTACTACTACCGGTGGGTGGCTGAGGGGGTGGCAGGGTCCTGGATTGCCGTGCAGTTTAGCAGCAGCAGCAGCAGGAAAACGAGGTTAGACAATCCAAAGATGCAAGCAGGCCAGGCCCCGCGGTATCCCAACCTCTCCAAAAGAGACAGGCAGCTTTCGGGAAAGGGACCTGGCGCCCGCTACGGAGTCCGCCGTAGGAACGGAAGCGTGAGATGAAACAGCAGCAGGTCTCGTGGGGGGTCTGCGGCGTGAAGAAAGCATTGAGTTGGGACCTGCATAAGCAAGTAACGAGGATGTTGAAATGAATTTGGTGCCACCGATAATACTCTAATGAAGCTTTGAATTTACATTCAATTCGGCCCCTGGGGGTCGACCTTTCTGGGTTTGATCTCATGCGGCTTTCTTCTCTATTTATCTACTCTCTGGGCCGATTGCCTGATCAGGTCACTAAAGCCTGAGGTGCACTTCGTGCCGTTCAACAAGGACAACGTGCTGGAGGTGAGCGTGTGATGTATATGTCTGTCTGTATATATGTATGTATGGGGGGAAGGTGTTATGTGTGTTTGTGTGTGAGGGGTGTCGTTTTGAGTGGGATAATGGGGGGATTTGCCACCCACGCATGTTGTCAACTGGAGGGCCAGGACACATTACCTGCCATTACCAAAGAAAATCTTCCGTACCATTCCTTGCCTCCTATGCCGTATTGCTCGTGTGAACACCACGAAAACATACAAAAACACACAACACACACACAGACGGTGTTCCCCTTGTAGCTCACGTAAAGCGGCACATGCGCAGAAGGTAAAAGGTAATGTCCTCGCAGTCCACTCGATCTGCGTGTGGACACAGCAGCACGTGCTTGTTCCTTCCCAACACGCACACGCCCTTTCGTTCCCCAACCCCGGGGGGCCCTCCCCACCCCCACCCCTTCTGCTAACAGGTGGTGAAGGACTTGGAGGCGGATCCCGGCCGTTGCCAGCGCATCTCCGCCGAAGCCCAACAGTTCGCATACACCTTCCTGTCCCAGCATTCCAAGGCGATGTACGTCAAGCGTGCGTTGGTGTACTACAACTCCCTGCTTCCAGACATGGAGCCGTTTGTGGAGCAACTCACTTGGCCCGCGGAAGGGGAGGCTGGCGGTGGCGGCGGTCCGGAGGAGGGCGGCGTTGGGGGCCTGACATTGGTGGGGCTCATGGAGCAGATGCGGGCGTTTGTAGGGGCGCGGCGGCGGCGGGGCCGCATGTGAAGCGGCGCGCATACGCGCCTCTGTGTGTGTACATGTATTTATATGCGTGTATTTGCCGCGCGCGAAAGAAAGGGTTAGGAGGGGAAAGGAGATGAGTCTTCTATTCCGGGGTTGGGACGGCGGGTGGGTGAGTTGGGTGGGTGAGCTGAGTGGGTTGGGTCGGGGGGGTTGGGCAGATCTAGCGCAGTCGGGCCCGGTTCCCGCAGGTAGGCGGAGGTCCCCTTCCTTGGGCGCGGAGGTCTTGCATGGGGCGGTGCGGGAGGGGGGAGGGGGAGGGGGAGAGTGGGGATGCCGGAGGGACGTGGATGTTAGGATGTGGGTCGCGGGGGGTCGTTGAGGATGAAGCAGCAAAGGTCGAGGGGGTGCACGGCGAGCACTCGCGCTGCTGGAGGGGAGGCGGGTGGGTTGGAGGCAGGGTGTTCGGGTTCTTGCCGGTGTGGTGCGGACGTGCATGAGCGAAGACTGTTGTGCTGTTTTCTGCTGGAAGGGAGTTTGTTGTTGAGTTGGCTATCCTAATAGCCACTAGCATGATTATATGAACCACAATGGCATGACCTCATCACATTGCATCATATGCGAAAGTATTTAAAGCAGGGGAAGGTGTATGTGGAATCGGTCGCGGGCTGGAGCGACCTACCTACCTACCTACCTACCTACCTACCTATCGAGCTCAATGGTGGTTGGCAGCGCTGTATGCGTTCATTGCATCTATGGATACACAGTCTGTAGGAGTTGGCCGATGGGCGGTGCCGACTATCCCATACATTGCGCCATGGCGTGGCCCTGCTACTAAGCCGAGATGTCCTGGGTAGCTTTGAGAGGGGTGTGAGCGATGTGTGATTGAATGTTAGAGTTTTTGATATGCTTGTGTATGTGTGGCTGTGGCTGTGGCTGTGGGCGGCTGCTTTCGGTGGCTGCAAGTCGGTGGCTGCCGTGGTTTTACATCAAGCTTGGTGAGCACCTCTCGATGACGACCTGACAGCAGCCGAGCACCGGGGTGGTGGGGGCAGAGGGAGACGAGACACGTAACAACAAGCAAGCGGCTCTGGCTGGGTAACGGAAACTGGTTTTGGTTAGTTGGCTTGAACAGTGACCTATCGGCGTGCCGTAGATGTGTACGATTGTCGTTACTTGAGTCCGGGGGCTAAAGGCTTCCATGTACACAACTGCTTCCGCGCAGCTAATAATGGAGCAGCATGCACCCTAAGTTACATCATAAGTTAAACGTCTCGTTGTGTATCGGGCCCGGCCCCTTATAGTGGGGATGTGCATGGAGGGATACACGCCGGGTTTGGGGGCCGCGTGTTTGCGGGGCCGGTGGCCGACCCATCTAATAACACTATGCGGAACGAACATTCTGTCCCTTTGCATGTGCGTGCGGTAAGTGAAGGACGTCCTCTTTCGTGAATGCTGGGTTTCTGGGTGTTGGTGGCCATGTGCGACCCGGCGCCGTACACGTATTAGTACGGCGCCGTACGCTCGGATCGTTTGCTATGGTATGTGAGCCACGCACTCATGCGCGGCACCCCCAGCAGCAGGCTTTGTGAGCATTTAGGTATGCGTACCTCGCCTCCATCTGCTTGCGAGCTCATATATAAATGTCTATAGAGGGTTCCCTTCGGGCCGCTCACTAACAGTATTCTTGGCGGGGAACTGGTTCCGTTACTTGGATGTCCGTCACCCGTCGTAGGACCGATATGCTGAGTTAGCCAACTCACTTGCCAAGGGAGTGTACGCACTCGTACAGCCTGCAAGGAGCAAACTACGGGCTCTTGGCGCTTATTTGTTTGGGGGTTCCTTGTAATTAGACGTCGCTCGCTTCAAAGATGGAGCTTCTATACGGTGCTGTAAACACAGGAGGTCGATGCTCCATAATTCTATGGCCGCAGCTACTCTCAGGAGACGACCCATTCAATTTACATGTAGCGGCTCGCGCAAAGTGTAACAATGGCGGTACGCAAGGCATCTGATTGGCAACAATAATAATGTCATGCGGCACATCTTTGTGTCCGGTAATCACATGCTGTGCTAGCTACTGCTTATGCAGGAAAGGAAAAGCTGGATCTGGGAAGATCTAGTCCAAAAATGCTATCCATTTTCTGAGGAGGCAAGCGTTTCACGGTACCCTGTTCTTTATGTGGACTATAATATAGTCTTCATAAACAATACTGGATTGCCTAGTGTAGTTTTAGTTTATTAAAATTACACTAGGCAATGTCTATCCCGAATAGGGGCCTAGAGATAGCTGACAGACAACACGACACCTATTAGATTTGTGGAGGGGATTATCGCAATATTTTATATAGGTTCTAGAAAGGCTTTCCGCGAGGCTTCCAGCTCCCCTAGCTTCTTCTGCTTGTCTGAATCTGCTCGTCCGTCGTCTTGTTTTTTCTATAAAATTTATCAACATTTTAACGTGACGAGCAGTTGATGTCTCTAGGCTATCATGACAATGGTGAAGCGACTTGAGGTTCGCTTAGTGAGTGTTGCTGCCGTACATAAGTTGCTGAAATGACACTTGGACATGACGATTGCCTACTTAAATGATGGCCTACCGATAGCATAAATTGTATTCTGTCATATTATGACTTTACTTTTGTGGAATTTAGGGCATGTGTAAGAGTCTTCCACGCAAGCATGCCGCTCATCATAATCGGCAGATAAGAGCATCCAACACGCAGCAGTCGTCAAGCAAGTCGCTGGTGCATGACTACTGTCGGGAACTTTCTATCGTCGCTCGTTCTCGTTTGTAAAATTTATTTAGCGTCTATAGATCGTGCCCTGACATATTAGGTAAGGACGACGGTTATTATGCCCCTCATATACCAGGGCACGAATCATAGACAATGCCATGATCATCTTAACAGACGCCTTAATTATTGTTTATATACAATATGGATCAATATGGTGATCTCGGTACCAAACGCTGATGAAGCTGATGTCTCAGCTGCACGCGCTCGCTCGACCGCGATGCTATAGCATCACGTAGCGCTACGTGATAGCTCAGCTATACGCCCTCGCCCGTATGCTTGCTTCGTCTACCCGCAGGTGGTGGCGCTGTGAGCAGCGACCACCACAGATATTCCGCACCAGGTAAGTGCGATATGTAGTGCGATATGTTTACAGCGCATAACCTTACCTAGCACCTGTCGTTACCAGCGCGGTGAATAGTGCCACAACGGACAGTTAAGACTACGTCTACCTGCCTAGATATGGGTGATTCTGCATCGCGGAGGCGAGGATATCGACTGCTTAGCTTAGGCAGGTGTACCGACGACACAGGAGCGGTGACAGCAGGAGCAACAAAAGGGATACGAATATATAGACTGGGCGTAGCTAGGGCTCGGTATATGTTTTCATTACATATTTACATATAGTATATGTTTTCATTACATATTTGAGCTTTCGTTGGCAGCTGCTCTCTTACCCCGACGAACACTTCTGCACTGCGCGCAGCAGCTGCTGTCATATCGAATCGATATATGACGCTACAAGATCGTACCGGTAAGGCTACGCTCACAGTCTGCACTTCTTTCGCTGCTCCCCCCCTTCGCTTGCAGTACTAGTGTCTTGCAGCACCTACTGGTGTTGTCAGCCGTCGGGGTGCAGCCGAGAGCGCTTTCGCTGTGCCCCTACAGCCTGCTTTGGACGTGTGCCATGCGGCGCCTTGCGTTGACACTGCTGCTGCTTTCCTGGACAGCATCAAGAGGTGAGCTAATTGATCAAGTACCGTGATCCCCTCCTTCCAAAACAGGGGCTCCTCTGCGCTGAAATGTTTAGGCAGCCTACCTCTGTCTCCTTACGTAACGAGAACGGCGCCCAGGCTAGCGAATAAGAGATAGGCCAGGTAGGCCAGGGAACCAGAGTCAGGGCAACTCCCTTGCACTGGGAAAGGCGGCCTTTCAAAGGCCTAAATCAAATCAGTGCGTACCACACCCGCGGACAGACAGACAGACAGAGAATACACACCACATCGCCGAGATAGCAGTACCACCAGCTGGTGGGTGCGTGGGTGGGAGAAAAAAGGAAAAGCAAAGTTTGGTCCCACCAAGGGCCATGAACCCCAGCATGTATTCAGGGGGCCTGACGATTAGGGGTCTGGCAGTCGATATGGCCCCAAGTGGCCACTGACGTGTGGCCAGGTGTGGCCCCCATGCCCCCAATTGGCTGTGTCATGTGGCGCACATCTCGGACTGCACGTGTAACCTGCAGTGGCGCATGGCCACTAATCATCCAGGGACGGACTCATATGCCAAATCGGACGCTACTCGGGGCTATCCAAGCAGTACTCCCTTAACCACTTATATCTTTGCAACGCGAATTTTAATTGCGTTCAGAACCTCGCGTACAGAAATCTTCTTCCTTACTTCAGGGAATGGCTTTTCCACCCGTCGTCGGGTGGGGAAACAAGTCTTGGACTCGTGCGGCGATACTCCCAGGTACCTTATACAAAGCAGTAATGCAATATTGGCGGATGAAAAGCAAACACTGAAAGGCAAGAGCCAGGCGCGCAACCCAAGAACTATAAGTTGGAGCTCAATCATCTGTCGGTAATAGTCTGGGTTTTATCTGTACTGTCGCTCTGTACGGCCAACTACCGACAAACTCACGCTGGCCTTTTATTTCTGTTCGTCAGCGTTCGTCAGCATACGGGAAGAAGGTCGCCTCCATGTAACAAGGCCGGTTGAGGAATATCGATCCTCGTGCTGGTCCTGTCGGGCTGCCCGTTGAATGTACTCTTTTAAGTCATCACCAAGTAAACCATCCGGCAGGCCTAATCAAAACCCCCTTGTCCTCCCCTCACATGGCGCTCCTACTGCACCCCTCACAGGACCATGTCAAGGAGTTGTCGCAGGGTCCTCCGATTCCGCCGGTAACTATCTTGGAGCACCAAAAAACCCTGCCGCCAGCATCAGCGCTGCGTCGTCTTCCCAAAGTGTGGAGGTTTGGGGCGAGCTTATCTTCGTGAACTACCATGAGGAGGACCCCCTGCAATGGGCGATTCGAGGTGGAAACGGCGTCATAACGCCCATTGCCCGGGGCTACTTGCCTCCCAAGATGGATGCCAACGGTTATGACCTGAACCCCGGAGTTGTGGTGAAAATTGTAAGTCCGTTACTCGTTCGGCGGTGCGGCATATTGGGTTAGGTAGTACCACAGCTCATAACTCGATTGCCATAAAAAAACCCACTGCATTTCCTAGCAAGGGCACCTTTGGACCTTACACGCTTACATACATGCTGATATATAGGGTTTGGCACTACTGGTAAGGCGCGACCATTGCCCCCGGGAGATCCCGGGATCGATACCCATTAGGGTCAAAGTCCTTCCGATGGTGGAAGGCATTGCGCCCCTAGTTGATGGACGGTGGTGACCTGGGATAAAGTTAACCTGCGAGCCGACCAGGAACGGAGTTGGGCCGTTGTCGACCCGGCAGATTCCGTTGGATGCTGGTGGTGGGTGCGGAACCTGAGCGATCCACTGAGAAGTTGACTAGGGTGACTGGATGAGGGTGCCCCGAAATACCGGGGAAGGCAGGGTTTCGCAGGGTAGCTGCCACGGGCGAAGATACACCCCCCTGTTTCACACATCATACATGCTGGCGTCTGTCCCGCGTGCAGCAGCGCTAGTTTTGTCCTCAGCTCCGTCCTAGGTGACGACTAAACCCCGAGTTGGCTTTGTTTCAGGTTAGGTTTGGAATGTCATGACGCACATACAACAGGGAAGCAGGGAGCCGTTTTTGGCTTTTTGTCTTCCCATTTTGCTTGTTAATTGTTCCTGGCGCAAACGATCCTTACTTGCCCTTCATTCTTCCTCCTCACGGCCGCAACCTCACAGTTGTGTCTTATGGACGGCGACGGAACATGTCAACCGGTTCCAGATTCCATTGCTTTCCTCGCTTCAGAGGTCGCCCCGTTTCCGGACGCCGACCCGATTTATCAGCAACCGCTTGTGATCATCATGGATTACTCCCCGTGCGGTTACCCGTCCACTATCACGGAAGCGGAAGTACGCTCCATCTTTCTTGGGCCAGATGGAGACGGCAGCGGTGGAGTCGCGCAAAAGTACACCCAGTGCTCGTATGGGAAGTTCAACCTGAATGCCACTGCATTCCGTGTGGTCACTGTAACAAAGGAGGACTGCCTATCATCAATCGTTACTGAATGTGCATGGTGGGTAATTGCCTACGATGGTGACACTGGAGCTGAGGCGCTTCTGGGGCCGGACGTGTTTTCTGATGTGACGAATGTGGTCTACATCGTACCGCCGAGCTTGGGATGCCGCTGGGCGGGGCTGGCGCTCACGCCTGGGAGCAAGCTGTGGCTGGTGGCGTCAGACGATGGCGTGCGCCGCTGGGCGACCGTCCTGCAGGAGGCGCTACACAATTACGGTGCGCGCATGTATGGCTGGGGCAGGATAGATGTCCCTAGTTCCACATTGGTTCAACCCCTATCCATGCAATCCTTCTACTAAACCGCCGTAACTAAACACGTGTCTGTTGCCCGTTGCCCGTTGCCCGTTGCCCGTTGCCCGTTGCCCGCCCCATCCAGGTTTGCCACACGCGTTCCAAAATGGTATCGAGTACGCGGACTATTCTACAACGATGGGCCGGGGCAACGTCTGTCCCAACGCCGCCGAGATTTCTCGTATGGGCTGGGCTACACCTGCTGCACAGGGGGGTGACCGCATCGACTCCAGCGCCTTGCCACTCGGCAGCGTCCTCAGCTTCACCCTGCCAGCCACCTACCTGACCTCAGAGGGAAACTACCTCCGAGTGGTTCCGGACTGGCTGCCTACGTACACTACTCCGTCTGTGGGCAAGAACATTTACATTGCCCTACGTGTCAACAAGAGTGGAGACGCATTAATGGGCCCTTTCTACGCTAATAAAGTGAACATGCACGAAGTCCGTGCGGACTTGGTAGGTTGGTTTCTCAGGTTGGCACTGCCCTTACATCGCTTGAGGGGCGCATTCACTGGGAGCACGCGGGTGACCTAACCACACACCATGTTCACCACTACGAACGTCTCCTCCATGACTAGGTGGTCTAGTCTCTCCGTTGGATGTCTGGTCGTGATCGTGGTCGTGGAAGTGGGACACCTCAATATTGTATGTTTCGTAGACAGCTTCTGGCAGCTGTAGAGCTCATTGCGCCAGGGAACTAAGCTTCGCCACCTCCCTCATACACAGATCGGGCCCCAACTTTCATCAACCGACGCCACTTCAAATTTCGCATCGGTCACTAATCCATTTACAGCATCACTCGTAGTTTCCGTACGTATAAAGAGAAGCACAATGGTTTGCTGTCTCCTTTCCAACCCTACTATGACACACAAGGGAACCGTCATTGTTTTCAATCCCACCGCAGGCCTACGCTGTCTGCCTAGGCCGGGCTTCAAGCTTTTCTGTTCTCACATCGTCCGCATCCGTCCTCCCTCGCCCGGCTTGTTTGTTTTCTGCAGGACAAGGGCTACCCGACCTACTGGGCAGGCGGCTCCCGACCGACGTCATTCCTCGACACCGTTGAACTGCTCAACCGGAAAAACCTTGCCACCTACAGGCTACTGGTGTATGCCGGATCCTGGGTCGGTACAGACATCCTACGGGTGCACCTGTGCCGCTACCAGGCCTCCCCTGATGAGTGCCCAACCCTTGACTTCATTGAGAACCGGCCGCCGCCACCTAGCCCTCAGCCACCTAGTCCACAGCGGCCCCCAAGCCCGCGGCCCCCACCAAAGCCTCCCGGGCGCCCACCAAGCCCTCGACCGCCGCCAAGGCCTCCAGTACCCAGACCACCACCGAAGCCGCCCAGTCCACCACGCAGCCCGCCGAGCCCGCCGTCGCAAACCCCTCTTGGATACCTGTTGCCACCCACCCCGGCGCCTCCTAGCCCACCACAACAGCCGCCCAGCCTCCCACCGCCAACCACACCACCTAGCCCGCGGCCAGCACGGAAGCCGTCGATGCCGCCCAAGCCACCACCAAGGCCGCCAAGCCCGCCAACCAGGCCGCCATGCATGCCGTACAAGCCACCTAGGCTGCCGCCGTCGCCACCGAGGCCGCCGCCTAATCCACGGCCGCCGCCTAACCCTCGCCCGCCACCCAAGCCGCCAGTACTTCCTCCACCACCATCCCCCAGTCCACAACCGGCCCCCAGTCCACAGCCACCCCCAAATCCACAGCCGCCCCCCAGTCCCCGGCCGCCCCCAAATCCACGGGCGCCCCCCAGTCCACGGCCACCACGGAAGCCTGCGCCACCGCGAAATCCTCGTCCACCACCAAAGCCGCCAGCTCCACCAAAGCCGCCAGCTCCACCCAGGTCGCCACGCGAACCCTCGCATGGTCTGTGAGTCCGCCTGACAAACTGACGGTTGGACCGGCACTTGCCATGTCGAAAGTCACAGAAGACGGTCAGGGAGCGATGTGAGCTTGCGATTATGGTAGGCAGTACGCAGCAGGTGGTGCATGGACGAAAAGCTGTTTAAATATGTGTATGTGTCTCATTAACGGTATCTTCGGCCCAAGCAAGGTTCGGGGAGGCTGTGCAAGTTGGGTGATTTATGCATGGTTTGTGTCAGGGGCATCGATGGTTGGGCAATTGCGGCCGAAGAGATATATGGAGTTAGATTTCTACCCATCCGCATACACGCACGAACGTATGTATGTATGTATGTATCGTGACTTGCTTGTGCGTGAACACTCCTAATCATGCTTGTCGCCGTACCGCTATGCGCGGTACCGGTCGTCAGCATTAGTCATGCAAGCGACCTGCCTAAGCTTGAGGTCGACTTAAATACGATCGGTGAGAGGTTAACTGCGTGACTCGAGACTAATTACTGTGTGCACGCGCACCCACACCCAAGACGGCGGGGTGTTTGGTGATTCAAGATGGAGAACGTTGTGGCGGCATACTATTCCGGTTACGGCGGGTATTGGCTACGGCAGGTACTCCCGTTAGCGTTGCATGGTGTACGTGCTGCACGCAGCAGGATGCACTCATTAGAGTGAGCAAGTTCTTCAGCATGCACACACCGTACCATGCAACGTCTCCTCAAGCGAATTCCTTTTACATGAGTTTCAACTTCCTTGATGATTTGGCATCTTTAAATACAAATCGAAGGCCTCCGAAATACATTCGCCTGCCGCCATATCGTGGTCGGGGTGGAAACTACTTTTGCAGTGACCGCATGTGGCAGGTACTAGCGTGCGTGTGCCGCCCTGTTTTTTTTCCGAGCAACTTCGAAGCAAGAATATGATGAGCGCTGTACTTGATTAAATGTCTTGCTTGATGACAAATAAATATAACTGTATATGATGCATAACATTCCTTATTAGCATGGAATAGGACATGTGCCGGGGGTCGGGTGGCCACCCGTCTGTGGAGAGGTTAAGGGTTCACCTAACGCATAGTTATAGCTGGTCGCTGAAGAGGCCTCTAAATAGTTGGCGGAGCGCCTGAGGGCGTATTATTTACTGACAATGTGTGTGTGCCGTCCTGCACGACAGCTACTATGCGTAACCTTCATGTAAAGGTCCGTCCTTCATCCGGTCCACGTTATTGAGTACTGTACGGACATCAAGGACTCTCCCTTCCACATTCTTATACAGAAATTGTTGCCTTATACAAAGGCAACATTATCTGGGGGGTTGTGAATTAAATAAATTTAGTTTACTGGCGAAACAACGAGACAACTGTGGTAGTACGGCATGCAGGGACGTCGCATCATGTCGTCGTGAACTGATACAGCAGTGAGCGGTGCTCGTATGTCGATTATATAGCTCAGATATCAACTCATCACCTCGCGTGGATCGCAGATACGGCACATGGAGCCTTCTCGGTGTACATGCAACACAACACCTACAGCCACCTCGGTTTTTTTTTTTTGTGTGTGTGTGTGTTACATTTTACACCCCTTTATTTAGGCGTTGTTTCCTTCGCCGCTAGCTTATAATTAGAGTCAGCACTGGGCCGATCGACAGCATCCTTGTCGATACGCGACGGCAAGTGCTGCTGGGTCAGCAGAGATCTTCACAAATCAACCTGTTCGCCGCTAGAAATCGAGCCGTCAAGAGTGTCATCGATCGCTGTCGCTGCTTGTTCAGATGCGGTCTTTTAGCCTAGACCTGAACTCGCCAAAGTCACTGAACTCGCCGTTTCCTCCGCCAAGCCTGCCACGTGGGTGCCACGGTGCACCGCCATGCAAACCCGCCGTCCCCAAGCGAGCCGTCGCCAAGGTCGCCACCACGGACGCCACCGTCGCCAACGCCGCTGCCATTTCCAAAACCGCTGTTAGTTGCCGAAGCAGCCTCCGCCAAGTAAGGGCCCCGTTCCAGCACTGACACCACCGTTTCCAAGGCCGCAGTTACGGAAGCTGCTGTCGGCAAGATCACGGCCCCCAATCCGACGGCAGCACAGTCGTACATGGGTGCTGCAATATGCGCGGCGCAGATCTTATGAGTGACTGGCTCTGGAACAAGGCCCCACGCCTCCATGCCGCACAACGAAGCTTCCGTGAGCAGGTGCTCATGTTCACGCACTACAAATCCGCTTCGTCCGGGCCCCATCTAGCTGCGCCGTTGGTTCCCGTTGGTTCTCTTGGTCTGATTTATGATCGAGAACGAGTAGTTAATCCTCCACTTGGCACCGGTGATGGCTAAGGGAGGATGAGTACGGCCAAAACTGCATGTATATTGTACGGCCAAAACTGCATGTATATTGTACGGCCAAAACTGCATGTAAATATATTTGAAGGCTTATATTGCGGAAAGACACACACCCACACCACAGTAGCCGTGTGGAATAAACCTACGGCATGAGTTCGAATCAATGTGGTGACAGTTTGGCCATGCGGTTTCTCCCCTTGTTGGGGGTCGGGGAATGTCGCCGTGCGTGCGAAACCGCCACTTGAATCACCGACAACATGTGTCACGACATCACGATGCTTTGTTCTTTTCCATAACATGCATGTGCCCCAACCATGCTACATCGCTGAAACCCCATCCGTCATAACTCATAGTAACAAACATACAGGTAGGTAGGAAAGAACTATCAAGTTACATGGTTAAGCGGTTCGAGGCAGAAACCAGAATCAAACTGGAAACTCTTGAAACGTTTCTTGCCCCACTGCATGACGTTTCGGTTTATATTTTTCGGTAGATGTGCTAAACACGCAGAAGCATGGCCCACTGAGTTAGTTTTTTGACGTCCTTTTGTAAACGGCCGGGAGTGCAGGTACAAGATGGAGTGACAAAACGGGTCGTTTTGCTTCCTTCCACTTAGAGCGCCGGGTGAGCAACGTCGGTCGATTGACCTGCAGCGAAAGCCAGTACTCGTGAACACTGTTCACCATTGGGATTGGGACCGTGCTTGTGGTCCCTAAAGCGCAAATAATGAACTGAGCAGTGGTTCATCTCTGCATAGCAGTCCAACAGCTACATGACAGAATGACTGCTCGCCTACATAAGCTGGGCCGACTAACTCAGCAGGTCTACGTGCACCATACGCTTGGCCTTTGCCGTCGACACGCTCGGACTCGATGCAACTCGGACTCAGGCTAGGCAGCGTCTAGGGTATCTGTAAAGGCTGGCCGCCGGTGTCTGGAAGCTTTCACACTCCTATCTAGGGGAGCGAGGAGTGAATGGCAAACTTCGTGCATGACCTTCATTCGCGCGACAAGCCAGCTGCTGAGTTATCCATGTATGTGGGGAATTGAACCGCTGTTAGAACGCCGTTGCTTAGCGTATGCACGAATGGTAAAAACGACGCCATCGCTCCGGAATCTCCAAAAGACTGCCCTTTTTCAAACCCAAAGTTCCTTAGGGAAGCGGACGATGCTGGTAATGCGGGATGTGGAAGTTAAGGCCTTGGAAACCGGTTTTGCCGTTATCCGTGGCAGGTAAGGCACGCCGCCTCTACACAAGCGTCTGCACTCTTGGAATCGTAACGGCGCAATGTACAGAACCCACGATGTCCGCATCGGCTGCTGCACCTAGCCTGCATCGCCGGCGCAAGTCTTTTCAGCTGCCCTGGCTATTAGCTGTATGTGCCCAGACGGGCTTATGGGTTTTAGCACGTAAAGCTGTGCGGCCGCCACCGCGGGCGCCACGTGGTGGCTGGGCAGGAATATGCAGAAAGCTATGCGTACGTGCAAGCAGCCAAATGTGCGTGCGCCGACATGCTCGGTGCAGGCAACCAGCAAACCAATCTTCAGCTGCCATAAAACTAGGTAAGTGTCGGGTAATTGCGCTACCCGTCTATCAAGAATCCTTCGCAGCTCGTGCCTTATTACAGTACACAGTATAGCCGTTGCGAACTCCGGATCCGTCACCCACAAGCTAATAACTGCTGAGAAGAATGAACCCAGCAAATTCAGCCCAAGCAAGTGTACCGCAGCGCGCTGAATTGAAGTCCGCCGTCAGCCACCCTGTGCGAGTATTTAATCCGCACCATCAAAGAGGACAAGTTGGGTGTCGGCTTCAAGGAAGCCGGAAAAAGGGCGGGGCCCCTCTGCATCCGTACAGGCCGGTAGCAAGGGTGGCAAGTGTGACAATTGATGGGTAGTGTCAACGCGGTGGGAGATGTGCTTTGTTGCAGCAGTGCTGATGGTGTGAGAGCTAAGCTTGCACCGGCGGAATCGTCAGCACCGCCTGCGGGCTCCACGCGAATCGCATCCATTCCGGGCATGCACCCGGAATGGACCCGGCATTCCGGGTGCATGCCGCACCCGGCATTCCGGGTGCATGCCGCATGGACAGTGCGGCAGACCGCAAGTCGGAATGCCCGTGCGGGCAAATGGTAACGAAAGCTGGGTGAATTTCGGTGCTGTCTGTGATGTTTATCCCCGAAGCGCCAGCGGCCTCAGCAATCCGCCCCACAGCCGCGGGCTTCATCGGGGCACACCGCAAGTCTCAGGAGGCCCCGTGCATTGGCCAAAGTAA